TAAATTTAATAAAAGGACAGATAAGATAGATAAGATAGATAGATATACGATAGATAGATAAGATTTTATTGTATTCTTTAATTTTAATATGAAACGTTTGTTCTAGGGTTTTAGCTTTATCGATTTGTAGTTGACTGCGTAAGCAATCCTGCGACGCCCCATTAAGACGGGGGAAGGCTTTGTTGGGTTTTAGTAGGTAGTACTGGCTTTGCCGGTGAGTCCCACACCTCATGCGTAAATGGATTTCCCAACGTTAAAAAAAAAGGCTTTATCGATTAGATCAAAAAATTGTGACGGTTCTCTGCATTTTTAGTTATGTCAATTACCGGCTCTTTTATTTAAAAAAAAATAAACGCAACTACTCCTATTTTTATGCATAAAAGAATGTTTTCTTTTAGTAGAACTTGATATCTTCAATATTTAAGGCGTTTTTCTTTAATTGTTCCACTCAGTATATATAATATGTCACTCATATAATTAAGACAAATCTAACGACAAGTCATGTTGAATTCCATGTCGTTTAGGCTACAGAGCGTGCCAAAGAAGTTGCTTGGATAGTAAGCACATATTATCAATACCTACTTAATATAATAAAGAGGTAAAGTTTGTGAGTTTGTGAATTGTGCGTTTGTGACGTTGTAGGGGGTAATATCTGGATCTACTAAACCGATTTAAATTAAATTTGGTAAGAAGATAGTTTGAGAGCCTGGGAAGGACATAGGATACTTTTTATCCCGGAAATCCCCCCTAAGGGTGTGAAAATGGGGATGAAAGTTTGTATTGGGATAGCAAGCTAGGGACGAACCCGAGCGAAGCAAGGGTGAGTCGCTAGTACACTACATATATAGTCCAATAACTACTTCATGAGTACACTAGCGACTCACCCTCGCTTCCCTTCCGGTTCGTCCCTTGACAAAAACTGCTTTATACATATATACAGTACATTTTTCCGGGATAAAGAGTAACCTATGTACTATCCCAGACTACAATCTATCTCTGTGCCAAATTTCATCTAGATCCGTTCAGCCGTTCTGGCGTGAAATAGTAACAAACATCCATCCATCCTTACAAACTTTCACATTTATCAACCGACTTCAAAAAGAAGGAGGTTCTCAATTCGACTGTATGTTTTTTTTTTTTTTTTTTTTTATGTTTGTTACCTCAGAACTCCGTCATTTATTAACCGATTTGGAAAATTTTTGTGTCGTTTGAAAGGGTATACTTCCAGATTGGTCCCATTTAAATTTCAAAAAAAAATACCAACCCTAAGGGTGGAAAAACAACTAATGATGAATTTAACCTACTTCTAATTGTCATATTGACTTGAAACTTTGCAAGTATTTCTATTTCCGTTGATAGTACAGTGGTTCGGTGTTGTTGACCTGATCTGATGGCAAGGCCAGAAGGTGGATAGGTGGAACTCTTCAACGGCTAATAGTAGATACTTTGAGTTTGGGCTTATTTTGTTTGATTTGACAAGCCTAACACGTTAGAATCCTTACTGCTACTACTGTCTACACTAAAAAGGGAAAAATAAAAACTTTTTAACAAAAAAATAAAAACCGACTTCAAACAAAAGCACTAAAAAGTAAAAAATAACTGATTGGTAGTTTTCATTTACTATACATACCTAATCAAATATTTTCGAAGTCGGTGTGCTTTGGCTGAGTAATTAAAGCCTACCTATTAAATACATACCTAATCAAATATTTTCGAAATCGGTGCCAGCCCATACAAAGCAAAGCACACCGACTTCGAAAATATTTGATTAGGTATGTATAGTAAATGAAAACTACCAATCAGTTATTTTTTACTTTTTAGTGCTTTTGTTTGAAGTCGGTTTTTATTTTTTTGTTAAAAAGTTTTTATAATATTAGTACATTCTATAACTGAAAGGGTATATTTACTGCAAAATCGCTTTAAAGGTTAATTAATGGTACTTATTTTATTTTCTGTACTTTTCAATAATTACTTTTTAACAAAGAAGTACACGATTTGGATGACCCTTGTCTCTTAAAGCAAGAGCCTTGTGTTGTTTGAGCCTTGTTGGGCCACGCTTTAGGATAAAAATATTATTTTATATATCAACAATTTCAAGGAACAACGTTGTAACACAGTATCGCAGCTTTGAATTAAGACTGTAAACAAATAGATATGTTCGGAAAACTCCGGGCGGTGACTGAACATTTCTTTACAGAAAAACCCAATAACTATAAGTATAGTTATTGGTTCGATCCCAGAATCGAACCTGCAGATCAGCAGCGGTACATGCTAGCCACTAGACTATCGAGGCATTCATATCTATACATAAACTATGCGACCGAAGCCACGGGTAAAAAAATTAATACTTTGTGATACAAAGACTAAGAATGATATTAAATCGCGATGATGTAATTATTGCGCTGGAATATTTTGTATCGAATAGTGTATTATTAGGTTTTCCGGGTCGACATATCATCGAATCTTTTGATGTGTAGCGTCAACTGTTTATTTATTTTTACCATGAAAACTCGTGAACTATGATATATCGGCATATGTTGATATAATAAAGTAATAAAACTATTTTTTGACATTTTATTATATTAAATGATGCCATAAAGATATATTATTAGTAGTTCATCTTTCTGTTTATTCAACTTAAAAATCGACAAATTCACCATCTAATCTCTACATAGCATCGAACCTGTGTCCTCGCCTATTATACCACGCAGTAAAATAACATATTCGTTATATCAACGCTTCTAGTTATTTTTAATATCCATTATCATAATATATTACCTTGGACACTCGCGAATACAAGGAAAAACGAGGTCGTTTTTATTTCAAAGTGTCTAAGTAAAAGCATTAATCTTTTATGTGTATGTACGAACTTCTACCTGCGACTTAGTCTGTTTATTGGATTTTTATTTATAAACAAGCATTTCCCGCGCATATTTCATATGACCAAAAACCAAATTCTTAGATTTTACATATTATAGATACTCTTACATTGCAGTTTTTGTATTTTTTCTCAGAAATGAGATATTTTCCTGCGGTAAAAAGTATCCTATATGTTGACCTGGATAACCAGCTATCACCATACCAAATTTCATCAAAATCCCTCCAGTGGTTTTTCTGTGATGCGGTAACAGACAGACAGACAGACAAAAATTCTAAAAAACTATAGATTCGGCCTCTGTATAGATAATAATGTTTATTTCAATAAGACTTTCCAAAAAATATTTAATATACAGATTCGGCTTAGTTACAATTTTATTATATGTATAGATCCAAACCAAATAAATATTTGCTCTGAGAGAGATCTATATGTTTTATGGAAAAAAATATAAAGAGAGAGAAGCTGATACGTAGTTTTACTATACATATAGCTACGTGTCTTCGTTTACACCATTCGGGTACGAAACCCTGAAAATGATGATGATGTTCTCCTGACCGATTCCGGCCAGCCAATCTCATTGAGACTAGCCAACTGCGCAGGAGATATTATAGTGCACAAGTGTACGCGCAGACAACGTGCACTCTCTATACCTGTCACTCTCATCCTCTGGTGGGACGACTACTCGAGACGACCGGTGAGAGTTAAGGCGCAGGACCGGCGGCATTACGTGCTCTCCGAGGCACGGGTGTGAAACACCGCCAACTTCCCAACTCCGGGCTGTTACTGAGGCTTACTATACAGAAAAACTCAATAACTAAACTTGGGCCGGCCCGGGATTCGAACCCAGGACCTCCGGGTGTGCAGCCGTACATGCTAGCCACTACACCACCGAGGCAGTTTGATGAGAAATGAAAATATAAATGAAATAAATGATGAAAACATATCTAGGGACGCGGGTCGCTAGTACACTATACCTTTAATAGGCAATACACTAAAAGTTAACCTTTGAAATTCTGTCGCTGACATATGTATTAAGTGAAAAATGACATGGATATTGGATAATGCCGTATATGGTCCTATTTATCAATAAAGTCGGTGAGTAGTTTATTTCGTGTCAATCAAACGGCGCGATTAATTTGTAGTTGTGACAGAAATAAAACGATAGTTATTTAAAAAACAATGTATCGACATAAAATGAATAGGTATGTATGTTTGTGATACATTTATGCCGTTCTATAAGTAGTGGCATATTTTCACCGACTTCCGAAAAGGAGGAAGTTCTATGTTTATATGTACAATATTATGTACGCGAAAATTGTTTATTGGTTAGCCATATCTTTGCTAAGCAACGGAGCATCTATCTGATCGTGATTCTTTTGCAAAAAAATTGTTTGTATCTTTTTGCTTTGATAAATCAAATCATTCCCGTCAGATTCCCGTGTTGTATGTTTAGATCTACACGAATACTCGGAATCGGATAAAACATCATATCATATTTAACAATCAATTCTTGTATATACATATATACATTTATTTCGGTATCTCGGAAACGGCTCTAACGATTTGGATCAAATTTTATATTTAGATAAGGTTTTGCTTTTTAGGTTTATCTATTTAGGTGACACTGTTGAGTTAAGGCAAATTTATTTATTTATTATTTTGTTTATTTATTTATTTATGTACCATAAAATATATGTTATACAAAATAAAGTAACAAAATGTTGGCAAAGGATAACTTATCTCTTTATGAGATATCTTCCAGAAACCCTTCAATAATATCTTTTCCATCTTTAATATCTTTTCCAAAAAAGAGTCGGGCGAGGCTCGGTCACTTAGGTACTATTTTAAAAATACTATAGTTATGGAGTGAATGAATATACATATTGTATTTTATGTAAGTACTTGTCATTTTCTTCAGGCAGTAAAGGTCCCAACAGTTTGAGTGTAAATATGTATGAATGGCTATTTCTTTTTGCTGGTTAAGCGACTTTTTAAACGATTGCCGATCAAATTATTCGAATCATATATGATTCGAATAATTTGATATACTATACTAACATATTTTTTTGTTATGATATCCAAAATTATCATCACGTATAAAAAACATTTTTATATCTTCTAGGAGAGCGACGGCGTGGTGCGGCGGGTCGAGCGGCTGCCTTAAGAAGAGCTCCTTCAGACTCTGACTGTTCCGGTGAAACAGCATCCCTGTCTGCAGACAGCGGAGATAGATCTGTGAGACCAGCACCCCCGCCGCCGAGGAGTGGGAAGAATAGAAAGTAAGAAAGCATCTTATCATAAAACGACCAAGGATGGCTAAACATCCCAAAAGTTTTTTTTTTTAATTTATCTAGTGAATTATTATTTTTTTCAAGCATCAGTGGCATTGAGTAAATGAATCTCCTTTCATGGTAAGAAGTAGCAAAAAAAGTAGAGGGATGATAAATATCAGGCCTAGCCAATATGCCTATAGGCACTTTAGAAAGATTTTTTTTTAATTTCGCTCATTTTAATAACATGTTTTCGAGAGAACGAGAACTACTTCATAATACTTTCTAAAATTTACGCGAATATTTGACATTTTAAATAAAACTATCTTTTCGTCTCTCCCGTGACCATGATTGCTGTAAAGCATTCGAATCGTCGAGAACCAAAGATCGAAATAGATCCGCGAAAAAATCCGAAAACATTTGTTCGATTTAAAATGAGAATTACTTCGATTATATCGGAATAAGGAGTCACTTTAGGTACGCCTATTGTATGTAGTCGTTTTTGCAGTGTAAATGGTAGGATAGGTATTATATAGGATAGGTATTATATGATGGTAGGATAAGATATAAATATATATGGATCCACGTAAGAAAAGGTCTATAGAAATTAATCTCTCAAAGGCATTTAAAGTTTGTTTAAAAGTTAATATGAAAATGTCAATTTTTTTCCATGTATATGACAGTTATAAACTTCTGTATTTACTAAGAATAAAGAAAAACTGCTATACAAATACAAAATTGATGTTATAATAGACCTAAAATACTAAGTGATGAAGCATTTCGTTAAAACATTAAACCATTTCGTGTGGGACGTTTTCTGGTTAGGGCGCTTTTAGAAGTATAATAGTTTAATTTCATCTCAAAGCGCCTCCGCTTTTGCACTTAGCAATTTAAAATTACGAACTCTGGACCTATTAATAGCACAAATTCTATTGAAAAAATCTAGATTTTTCAAAAAAGAGAGTTTTTAATGTTGAAAAGTGCAAATCTGGTCTTGAAAAAATGTAAATGCTGCTTCGTTGTGGATATTGGAATCTTAATAATAATTCTTTTTCCATCTATCAACATTATATGGGATGTTGTTGAAGTATATTCAATAGTTTTTAGATATATTGTTATCTGGCTATATGATTAATTTTGCATTGCTCATCAATGGATGAAAAAATGTCCTAATTATATATATGTAAATTCCACGCTCTCCGTTTTATGCTTTCATAAAAAGTGGTGTTCATAATTTATGATTGTAAATACAATAGAGAGCAACTTGTTTTAAAAATATAAAAGGTTTGACGGTAGTTTAATATCCTTATAAGTGTTTTATTGTAGCAGTCGACGTCGAGGCAGTGAATGGGAGGTATTAGAGGGGCTGAAAGACGGACAGCGGTTTGACAAACGACCTGAAGTTTTTAATGGATATTTGCATAAAAAGCGAAAGTGGCCGCTCAAAGGATGGCACAAGGTGAGGTTTAGTTACTTATGTTTTATTCACCTTCTTATTTAAATAAATTAATATTAAAAATGTAGAAATCTAGAAGAAATCTTTAAGGTTCCATTTTACTAAATGCCTCAACTATTCTTCAAAAGTTAAAACTAAATCCATTAATCCATCCTTTAGGATGATTTTTTTAAATTTTTTATCCCTTTTGTACACCCAAATTAATTGGCACAACCCTCAAAGTAAACAGACTTTTTTTTAATATACCAGACCTTCCATAAGTCATAAATTCTCACCAACAAAACCCTTCCAGCGTTTCTTCGTAGTAGACGGTGGTATACTGGTCTACGCAAGGTCCCCGACGGATGTGGCCCGCGGCCGCCTGCACGGCTCAGTAGATGTTGGTCTTTCCGTCATATCCGCTAAAGCTCGCAGACGGAGGATAGATATAGATGCGGACGAATTCATATACCACTTGAGAGCGAAAACGCCAGATGTTTTCAGGACTTGGTTGAATGTTTTGAAGGCGCATAGGTAAGTGGTAGGATATTTATTAAAAAAAATAGTTTAAGAAAATTTTACATTAACATTGTAATATATATTACGTTTCTAATATTATTAACATTTTTGTAGTTTATTGATAGTTGAAATAAAGTTATATTCATTTATATTTAAAAAATATATTTAATCTAACATTATAACAAATGATGATATTCATATAATCATTAACAAGATTTCACCAATACATCTAAATATATATAATAGAAAATATATATAGTAAAACAAATTAATTTGCACACACAAATTAAATATCTAATCTTTTTTGAAATCCATCAAAAAATAGAGGCAGTATTGTATAGTCATTTATTATTTTTTCAACATTCATTTTTCCCCTTATTATTGCCATTTCCTTTGAGTTTATATAAATGACTTTCACAGATTATACAGGCAACATCTACTAACGTTCGGCGCTCGAGAGTCCGTGCCTAAAATTCATGCTCCTTTAGAAGATCTTCCTATAACTGACACCTCTTCTCGTGAGTACATTAAGCAGTATTTCGTTACTTATGAAGATTTAAAAAAAAGTATTATAAGCATGGTTAAATTGTAGGATCAATATATTTTACCCCCTTACAGTGATTACTTAATCCTTATTATATTTTTTCCTTTAGACATATCCCGTATAAATATAACAAATTCTCCAGAAGATTTAAAACACATCTGGAACAACCCTTGCACTTTGGTATATCCAGTAAGCCCTTTAGATCCAAACTTCAACCAGATGTACATTAATGATGTTTTTGACACTCGTAAAGAAGACAACTCTATAAGAGCTGCAAAATATAACGAAAAAGAAAATGTTTTTGGATTAAATAATAAACACAAAGACTTATGTTCAATGAAATGCGCTAAAAATGATTTTGAAAATAATAACTCGCCTGTGTCACTGTTGACGACAGATGCAGAAAAACAAATGCATAGTACTGATTTAGATTTAATGTTACAATCAGATCCTGGTCTCCAATCGTCTTTATTATGTGAGTTTGCACTAAATTCCCCAAATCTCATCAAGAACGTAACAGCCAAATCTTTAGATCCAAAACTAAATATGAGCATTTGTAAAGAATCCAATGATAAGAACAAACAAGTGTGTATTTGTGGTAAACTACAAGTTAATCCAACATTATATTTCTTTACAAGGAAAAAACATGAACATATAGATAGTTCAAATCCTGTTATACGAAAAAGTAAAAAGTCAACTAATTTGGTAAAATATCAAAATTTATTTGATGAGCCAACCCTAAAGAGACCGCTAAGTAAATGTATGCTATTGGGAAAATACAAATTAAAAGGCAATAAAGCAGTTCAACTAAAAACAAATATTGCTGCTATTTTGAAAGACACTGACACTCAAGTTGCAATAGACAAAAAACATAAAAGCCTTCAAAATTGTATGACCGTTACCGATTATGATAGTGCTGTAGAAAAACTTTTAATTTCAATCTGCGATGAATTCAAATTAAATGACTTTCAAGAAGTTAACATGAAAACTTATTTAAGTGATATAATAAAAGAACTGTACGATATAAAATTAAAAGATGCCGATATATATCCTATAAAGAAATTATTTGAATATTTGTTAGAGTATTGGCTAAATAATACTTCAAAAGAAGATATTAAACTAATGGTTAAACAATCAAAGTCCATAGACAGACAATCAAACAAACAATTTGCCAACGATCAAACCACGTCTAATGTAAAAATTATAAGTGCCACTAAAGCTACCCAATTTCGTGATATCGATGAATTCATCAAAGCAAATGTACCTACGTCAATAATATGCATAGATAAAGCAGGAAATAAGAATAAGTTAACTTATAAAGTTGATGATAGTTACGGAAAAGAAAGACGTATACAAGAATTGGAAAAGGTTTTAAAAAATACTGTATATATCTGTGACACTATTCGAAGTAACAAAAGTAGACAAACGGATATCAAAATTACAAAAAAACTCATTGATAACATCGGTAATGTTCATTATAGTAATAATATAAATAAATCTGACGAAAATACGTCAGATTCATCCAATGAGTTACTAAAAATACAAGAAACTATAAATAATTTAATTGCTGAAACAGCGATGCCTGCAGATGTCGCTAAAGAGCTATTAGGAGCATATTTAGATATATTACGTCAAAACGAAAATATAGATATGAGCTCCTCTACAGAAGAATCTGAGACAGAAGTCTGCTTGATCAGGAGTGAACTTAACTGCGATGTTCAAACTGAATCAGTTCAGAACAAAGTTTCTATAAGCATATCTACTAAAGATTTTAAAGCCGAAGACAACAAAAAGGAAAATGTAGATTCGAACCAAATATACCTTAAAAGTGTACTAAATAAAATAACAACCATTTTTTCTATAAATAAAGAAAATGAAACAAAAAATATTGATAAACAACACGAAGTACACAATTGGGATGGAATTAAATTCAATAATATCGTGAAAGATGAATTAGGCAATGTCAAAACTGATAATAATTATAATAGTAACTCACTAGTTATTGATGTTTCTAAATACGATTTGGAGCATATTTCAATGGCAAATAACCCAATTTATAAAGGCAAAACGGCAATAACCATGAAATTGAGAGAAAAACCTCCAAACTCTGGTGAAACCAGACCGTTTAATGTATGTTTAAAGTTTGCGAATACAGTTTCTTGTGTACAAGATAACATATGCTATCAGTCTGATTCTAATAAAGTTTTTGATACAATGACTTTAGACCCACAAAATATTCCTGATAATCCATATATCGATAATCCTTATAATACTGGTTTAAAACCCTATTGTAGCAGTAGTGATGATTTCGATAAAGGAAAGCTCTTAAATAAAATCCAATTTAGTTATTGTGATAGTGATGCGACGTCTAAAGCTCATGCTTATAGCGAAAATTCGATGTATGACATAAATAATAATGAACACAATGATTCTGAACTTCCAAAAATTAAAGAAAATGACCCGCAATCTTGTTTCATATTGTCTTTAAAGAAGGGTGCAATATTGCCAAAGTTACATTCGAAAAAAGCTTTAAAAGAAAATATAAATAGTACACAAATCCAATCAAAATGCTCGCCTCTACCAGAAAATGTCCAAAATAACTTATCAAATTTCGAAAATATTCCCAAAGTAATCGATGAAAATTGTATACTATTATTGCTAGAAAATCTAACAATATTGTCCAAAAACTTACCGACTCTTCACAAAGAACTAAATAGTCTTTATATTAAATTACGCAAAAAACGAGATAAAGCCAATCTCATTAAAGCACAAGGCTTAGGTCTTCTAGGGAAAATTTATCACGAAGAATCCAATATTAAATGTACAAAAGAAACTGAGATACAATCGGAAGAAAATCAGAAATTGAAAACCACAATTGACGTTGGCACTGCAACTGATTCGAAAATTCGAAAAACTTCAAGCATTAAATCTTTAAACGTCAACAAAATAGACGTCGACCATAAAGATCTGCAAACTCATGAGATAATTACTCCTCCAAAAAATTTTTACTTGGAAAGAAAACATATTTTCAATATAAAGAACAATAACAGCAGTACACAAACAACATTCAGTAGTTTGTCTAGTGACGAAGAAGTCAAGAGAACGGACAAGGCAGTGTCCAATCAAAGCTGGTACAGACAAATGTGTACTAAGGACTGCGCTATCAGCACCCTAATAAAATACATAGTGGATTCAAATGAAAATGTCCAAAATTTTCGTTTTAACTCCGATCAAAGGCATTTCAATTATAAAAATACCAAAAACCGCAAACATTCTCAGAAATTAAGACAAGATTTGATTAAAGAAATAAACTTGCTATCACCATCCTTTAAAGTGTCGACGCAGTCGCAAACTGAGAAGAAATTACGATGTTTGAAAGACAAAAATCGAGATTATAACATTTATCAATTGTTTTTGAGTCAGAAATATAAAATTAAACGATCTCAGTCGTTGTTGAAACAAGCGAGAAGTGATGATTTGAAAACTATATATCGATGTTCAAGTGAATCCTGTTGCTCTGGTTAGCGATCCTATTTACTTAGACCTATTTCTAGTAACCCCAAATAAATATGTATGTAGGATTGACAAATTAATATTATTTTATTTTTGATTTTATTATAAAAAAATATTGCGAAATTATATAAATTATATTTTGTTATCTTTTTAGAAAAATGGTTTCATTTTAATAAGAAAATATAAAATCTTATAAGACATGAAATAGGATAATTGTTTCTTAAAATATTTGTTTTTACATACTTAACTTTAGGGTTTAGGGTACAAATTGTTTGATCTTTAGATACTAGATAGTGTACTACTATGTGCATGAATGTACCTATAAGTAGAAATAAGTAGTATTAGTGCCCCAGTAAATTCATAGTTTCTCAAACCTTAGAGTATCTTTAGTCTCTAATAGCTCTTCTGTCTGTCCCCTATTTTATATTAAAAATATTGTGGTTTTTACTAAAAAAAAATCGTTTATCCCTGGTTGTTCGAAATTAGTGTGCCAATTTTTAGATGATAGATACTAAAATCAAGCATGACGGTGTTTTTGTGTGGAGGACTTCGTGTAGTAGTATTAGTACGAATAAATTTAAATAGATGGCGTTATTCGTATCGACTTGTCATCGAAATTTTGAAAAATATAATAACAGACAAACATCGCGTAATCCGAAAAAATTATAATAATGGGTTCTTAAATTAAATTTCTAATAAATTTTTTTATTGATGTTTATCCCGAATCTATAATTATAGTTCTAGTTAATATATTATTATGTCATCTGTGACCAACAGACAAAATTTTAACTAAGTTTACAGTTACTTAAAAATATTAAAAATATAATAAGTACAGGACTTATCATTAGAATTACTTAATTCTCCATATTTTCAAGAGTAAGGTTCCTTAATCTTTCTTAGATTTACGCGAACATTTGATATTTTAAATAAAACTATCTTTTCGGATTTTTAATAATCTTTGAATCTAAAACCTTAGTCTCTCTAGTGACCATGATTGCTGTAAAGCATTCGAAACGTCGTGAACCAAAGATCAAAATAAATAGACTTTTATTTAAAAAGTAAGACTCTGTTTAGAATATTCTTTAATTGGCATTTGCAATCTCTTTGAAGTATTTCCATGTTTGTTGAGTAAAAAATTAAGATAATACTTGGTAAAGTTAATCTATGCTTTAAATGTAGATAATATTATCATTCGATAATGAAATTAAATTACTTTTAAGTCAATCCATCATTTAAAAAAATGGACCTAATTTTTGATCGTCCGCGGACTAAAATTTATATTAATACACTTTAATCGTTGTAATAACGCGTCACAACCATAATATTTTTAATCTCCTATCTGACACTGGCATTGACAGGATAAAGGCCTAGTGAAAAAATAAAAAAAAATAAAGAGACTAAAAAATTATAAGTCTTTATCCTGAAAATTCTGCACCATCCCGCTATATTCCAGGGCTGCTTAGCCCGTCTTCGCCTATCCGTGGGCCGCAAGCCGGCTTCGTGTCGGGAACTCCTGGAGGACGTTTTGCAGGATGGATCCTTGGTATGATATTGAGAATCTAAATTAAATATAAAATAGCTGAAATAATAATTGTGGGTATATATTATAATATTTGGAATACAAAAGTGACGTGACGAAAAGTAGAAAAAGTATCTCTTTGCTATATTTCTTGGAGAGTACTTTGAATTTGGCTTTTTGCAGATTAAATATATTCTTGTAAGCATACACATAATTACTCTTTAGGGAAATCGAATCCACGATCTCCATTTCAATAGGATAGTATGAATTAGGAAAATAAGTTGCCATTTCATCAGTAAATATATAAAGAAATCAACAAATGTCTCATTTTGCATGTAGCATGCATCCATGCAACTTATATTTTCTATTAAAAATGCATGTTATTCTTGCTTATATGTGTGTACATTATTAATGAACTTGATAAATTAAAATATTGATAGCAATTTTTTTCTCTTTTTGAAGTTATACTTCTTTTGGCACGTTTGGAAAAAATTATGAGAGTAAATTTTTACGATGCGCGCGCACACCGACAGCCAAATAGAGACATGATGAAGTTAGCTGCATTTCTTATACAAACAGAGAGTTGTGACATACGGGATGAAATCTTTAGCTATTTTTGTTCTATAATATCAAAAGAAATATAACTTATTACATGCGTACATAAGTACACACACACGCGATTTTTTCCCTTAGTATAATTTTATATGCGCTTAATAATAAATAAAGCATTTTAGTTATTGATTATATATACGTACATGTGTATTTCTTCTTCCTGAAGACGTTGGCAATCATTTAGAGCGGTATTGAAATATAGCATATCTTGCACATTAATTTTAACGTATCTAAAGCGTGTCCATGTCCTTTAAACATTAACAATCCTTAATATATATAATGTAACTTCTGATGTTTTTAGCTGATAAACATACATACATACAATAAGATTTTTATTTAAACTTAAGACAAATATTTTGTCACTTCATATTGAGCTATTATTAACTTTTCTCCACTTATCATTATAATATTATATCAATTACACTATTTCAATCAGTAAACCAATTTATAAACAAAAAAAAATATTTTTAAGCTAATAGAAGTATAACTAACTATCTATTAGTTATACTTGTATTAGCTGTTAATAACTATATTTTTTTTCAATATATTATAATATTAACTTATTATATTAATACATTATATTATTTGTATATATTTTTATAATTAAATACTCGTTTTTCTAAATATTTCCTAAAAAAAACTATGCAGAAAATTACTACTACTCATGCCTGCGGCTCCGCTCGCATAGTTTTTTCATATATAATTGCTTTACTCCTAAGGGTCGTAGCGTATATACCTTGTATATAATGTAACCTTAGAACACCTTCCTTAGATAATAATGGGAATACTATTACATATAATGCGAATGTTTATGTCTGCGTATGTGTGTGTATGTTTGTTACTTCTTCCTGTGTTAATGGCTGGACTGGTTTTGAAGGGAATTTATTACACATATAGTTTATGACCTGGAGTAACATGAGTTACTGTTAGGCACCTAGAGCACGTATCTACATATTTGTTTAAACAAACCCTCCAGCTCTATTTATCTTTATATATATAATTCTTCTGTGAGTGTGTATGTCACTGACCTTCTCTCAAACGACTGGACCGATTTTGATGAAATTTTTTGTGTGTGTTCAAGGGGATCTGGGAATGGTTTAGATTCACAATTTCAAATTAAAGACGTGTAGACAGGACAACGTCTGTCGGGTCCGCTAGTAATAGTATATAGATAGATATTAACATGCTGACCATTCCAGAATCCGGCGGTCCACTGGACACTGCGTCGCGCGAGCTCGGCCAAGCCCAACTCTCCGTACAACAGCTGCAAAGACTGCTTGAGGCCCTGGAACTGCAGCAGCAAGCCCACCATGACACAGACGTGAGTTGTGTTCTGTGACTGCCTGTCTGTTTGCCTGACTGACTAACTGAGTGATAGATAAGGGATCAATAAGTTATTTTTTAGAAATGCTTATCCGGATATGAAAATCGTTGATTTTTCCATTAAAAGAGGAAGTAACCAGGATAAAACCTATCCTATCTTTTAAGTTGGAACAAATCACTCATTTAAAAAAAATCGTTAAGATCAGATAAGTAGTTTCGGAGTTCATCGCGGACGAATATTGTGAAACGCGAATTTTATGTATGTATTGAACCCTTTTTAACGTGCCACTGCTGGGCACGGATCTGCCCATACGGATCAGGCCATAGTCCACCACGCTTACCAAGTGCGGGTTGGCGGACTGCACATGTCTTTCGAAAACTCGCTAGGTTCTCTCAGACATACAGGTTTGCATTCACCGTAAGATAAATGGTGTAATCATCTTGAAAATGATTCGCACATGAAAATATTAGAAGTGCGAAACGCAGGATTTGAACCCACGTCACTCAGTTTCCCGAACGAGCTGATTCCCACTGAGCTACCACTGCCACGGGGATTTTATATAATATTAATTATTCATAATTAATGATTTTTTATTATTTATTTAAATACTTTTTGTGTTATTTCAGCTGAATAAAATAACTAAAGTTGAATATGAAGTGTTGAAAATGTGATAATATGAAACTAAACCGGTCGCATTTGGTATATAAATACACTTGTTATTTTAAATATATATGTAATTAAGTATTTATTTTAGGGATGTGCGAATATCGTTCGAATCGAATCGAACAATTCGAAAAATTTCGAATAATTCGAAAGTTTTCGAATAATTCGCGAATTAATGAAATGTCTCTGGATCTTCAATTGTATCCATTTAAATTCCTTCAAATCGTGTGTCAAAATATTCTACTTACGAATAATATACTTTTCGTTTAAAAATTAATTACCCAGAGAAAACAATTGCTCATTTTTAAAATTTGCAATATATGTTTATTATTTACTGTTAAATTTTTATTCGAAAATTGAAAATAAGAAACCCTGAAAAAAATGTGAATTATTCAAAAAAATTCGGATTATTCGAAAATTTTCGAATTATTCGAAATTTTTCGAATTATTCGGGAACTTTCGAATTATTCGAATTTTCGAATTATTCGATTCGAGTTTCGAATCGAATATTAATATTCGATTCGGAACCAATAATTCGTAAGTTCGAATTATTCGCACACCCCTAATTTATTTGAGAGACTTATGTTTGTATTGAACATACAAATGTTTGTCTTAATTCTATTAAAATAAGGCTGAAAATCGTGTAAGTGGTTTTCCTATTATAGTAAAACAGAGTCTCAAATTATCTTCTTACCAAATTTCATCTAAATCGTTTCAGTAGATTCAAAGATTACCTCCCTACAACATCACAAACTCACAATATCAAAACTTACAAACTTTACCTCTTTATAATATTAGTATAAATTTATATACGTACAATTTATCTGTTTGTCATGTGACGTCAGCAGGTGTCACTGGAGGGTGCGTCGCCGAACGTCAAGAAGGACCGCCGTAAGTTCGGACTGCGGAAGAAGAAGTCTAACAGCAAGTGCGCTTCGGTGGACCTGCAGCCGCCACACATAGACCCCTCTAATTCACATATGGTAAGATATAAATATTTTCGCTATTATTAGTCGATCTGTTAAACTGTCTGTTTAAATTGTGATAATTTTTTCTAAGGAAGTTTCACTTCAAAAAGCACATGTACCATATAATGTTCTCTCCTTCCAGGCACTCTCGGCTCTGACGGCGCCCCCGTCGCCGGGAGGCGGGGGTTCGATGCCCGCGTCCGCCGCGTCGCTCCCCATCGGTGAGTGCCGTCCCGCTCGCACACTGTACACCCGTCCTACTCTAGTAGTGGGCGCTATGCTTGCTGTTTGATTGGTGTAGGCGTAGTGTTATATAATTTTTCGAGTTAAATTTATTTGAAAAGTAAGAAGGGAATAAATATAAGTTGTAGGCATAACGTAATTTGAAGTTTTTTTTCTATTGATGATGAAACGCTTTTTTTTATTAATGTTGCAATTACAGTGTGCAATGTACATCATGTTATAAATCATTGTAAATTACAGTAGGTACGTTTTAACGGTTAGTATGAAATACAAATCTTTGAATTTCTCGGCTTTTCTGTACTAGTATAATATGCATGTATTATACATATAAACCCTCTTGAATCACTCTGTCTATTGCTGAAAACTGCATTAAAATCCGTTGAGTAGTTTAAAAGATCTAAGCGAACAGACAGCGGGAGCGACTTCAATTTATACCATATAAAGTTTTTTTTAAATTTACATTTTTGAGGTGATATCAGTTAATTATTACCCGTTAATATACTTAGTATAATTTCAAGATATAACTTTCTAATGTTGGCATAATGAAATTAATAAATAAAATATTTGAAGAACCCTCTAAAATATAACACTATGCTTACACCATTGTTTAACTGTGTGCATTTATTTCTAGTTTAAATGTACTACGGATGTGAAACCGCACTCAATAGAAAATACACCTCTCCCAGAGAAATATCTTGTGCAAGTCCTAGATCATGTTTTTTTTATTTATTTATTATTTGTATATAAATATTATGTTTTTATAAAAGATAGTTTTAATTTATAAATATTTCAATAATATGTCTTGTCAAGGATTCTACGAGATCGGTAAGTCGATCCATGCCGTCGCCATTTTGATCGCATATCAAAACAAAATGGCGTCTCACATGCACGAGCTATGGCATTCAAGCTAATGTTATTTTTATCGCCAGAAATTAAAAAAAAATCATATTAAAATAACCTTAACATACACAATGCAATCGTTATCGCCATTTCGATTTATAAAAATAAAATATTCGGTATATATTCGAAGCGCCATTATATCTAATGAAAACTTTTTTTCTTTTTATCTTCCAGCGTTTCTATCTACATTTCTGGCCTCCACTTTAGTTCGTAAGACTATATTTTGATTTGTTTTTATTTCATCCCTCCCTCACACACGCGATTTAGAACTTTGCATGCATTTGCATACATTCGAAATTATAGTTCATTTTCGTTCGCTTTAGTTGAAAATGTGTCAGAGGCATTTTTAATTATTATCCATTTCGTACATTAATGGCGTTTTTTTTGTAAATTTTATAAAATATGAAGGCTATACGTGAAATAATAGCTATTTTTTTAATGTCCATGTTGCTGGATAAAAAACTTTTTTTTTAATGAGAGGCATAGATCTTAACCCATCATGCTACTTCAGTTGCTATTGTGTGAATTAGATAAAATGAATTTTCATAAATTTTTTGTACTTATAATTTATGTGGCCATTGTCATGACTGGATTTCTTAAAATTTATGTCTTTAATATAAATTAGCACGGATTTTTATATTCTCACGCAAATTTATTTACTTTAAATATAAGTTTAAAAATTAAAAAATTTAGCACTTTGAAACACGATTATTTTTTACACTCTATTTATAATATTAGTTTTACAAAATATTAGAAATTATGGTATTACCAATACAAAAAAAAAGTAAAAAATATTTTTTTTGTCAAGTTGCTTCGTCTTGTTTATAGTGAAAAAAGTTGTAAACTTTTAGGTGGCTATCAGAAAAAGCCTTTTAGACTTTAAGAATTCATTAAAATATTTAAAAATTAATCAAAATCTACAATCTAAAATCTTTTTTAAGCCATAGGTACTTATGCATATGAAGGGTACATGTAAAGAACAGGGTATCCCCTAATGGATAGATTATGAGAAAAAAGCAATTTAAAGTTTAGAAGTCAGAATATTTTTATTGAGATCAAAGTATGCAGATAATATGTAGATCTTCGGATAATGCTCCTTCTTTACCAGTATGTCATGGACATCCATGCCCGGTTTTTTTAGTTTTGGGTATAGATAAAAACGTATTTTTAGCGACATCCGTTGAGTATTTGTAAAAACCATTAGTTGGGAATGCAATTACCATAAACATAGATAGATTAAATTTATTATAAAGTATAAAATAAATATAAAGTTATATGTGTGTAGTTTATCAACTATCTGGTATCCATAACACAAGCCTCATAGCTTACCATGGAATTGGATGGTGATGTCTGTTAGTTAATGTCCCAACATATTTATTATTTGTTACCAGTACAAAACAAAAAAAATACAAAAATTGCGACATTCCCTGCTCTTCTTATGAAGTAACAAATAATAAATCGTAGTCTATGGTAAGTAAAAATTTGAATATTAACCTAAAATAACATTGTCACGTACAAATTGTCCGTCTTGTGAACATAAACTTGAACTTTAATGATATATAGCTAATGTCATATTAGATGTACGTACATATAAATATGTGTATGTCTTTCAAATAAAACTATCTTTACGGATGTTTTATCCGACTTATTTTGATTTTTGCTTTCCGACGTTTCGAATGATTTCCAGCAATCATGGTCACGGGAGAGACTAGAAGAAAGTATTATATGTATATTGTATGTCTTTGACATACAGTGTTTTGCCCCGTCTCCTTTATTATTAGGTTGGTCCCAAATGTCCTTTTTTAGGCTATTTTATCAAAAATTGATAACAATAAGCTCCTTAGTGTTGTATGTTTGAAAATTAATGATATTCTCGCTTCATCCAGCGATTGCTATGTTTTTTTATAATTAATTTTGGAACTCAAATGATAGGGGGAGCGTTCTGTACAGTATAATTTAAAAAATAATAAGAGCACTCTGTTTTGTAAACTGGATGGGACTTGTCAATAAATATCCACTTCCTGGCTTACTCTGGCACGACGCGATGGTATCAAATTATTGTATTGTCATCCTTACTGTACATACCTAATTACAACGTTTCAAATCTATACGATGATTATATATATTAGGTTAAAATCTATCCTCGAAATTTGATTGATAAAAGCGTGTTATAAAATCTAGAATGACCCTGCACCGTAGCCGAACTGGCCAACCCGGCCAATCTTATTTGTATTCAACCATTTTTAACGTCCCACTGCTGGACACGGGCCTCCCTTATACGAGGCCATATCAGGCCATAGTCCACCACGTCAAGTGTGTGTTGGCGGATTTCACATATCTTTCGAAAACTTGCTAGTTTCTCTCAGACATGCAGGTTTCCTCACGATATTTCCCCTTCACCGTAAGACAAGTAATCATGTTGGAAATGATTCACACATGAAAATATCACAGGTGCGAGACCCGGGACTATCACTGGACTACCACTTCCTTATCCTACACTGCAAATCTAATTTATCTAAACTAAAACGACAAAACATGCCCTTGCCTCAGTTATCTAGAAATTTCCGGGTTATCTAAGATAAGGCGAATCTGTAGATTATCTTACAGAGTAGAAGATCTAAAATGTATATTTTTTTTCTTTTTGGAAAACGATTCTGTTTTTCTTAATAATTTACAGGGGTTTCCGGTCGATTGACAGATTAAATAAATTAATTAGTTAAATAAAGAAGTTTCGTTTTGTTTACTTTTTTTTTTAAATTGAATAATGTCAAGCAATAGTGATGGGTTCATAGTGCCATTGGGGAAAGTAGTATGTTTGTACGTGTTGAAAGTACTTAGAGAATGCGAAGAGTCGAGCAAAAGTAAGTCGTTAAATACAATTCAATAGTTTTTGAATATTTTCGAGTTGTAAAATAAAGTTTTTTTTTTGTTTTAAACCGACTTCAATATTCCTGTGTCACTCCTTGTTACACCAAGTGTGAACTGATTCTGATCTCTCGTTCTGACTCTGATTCCATAATTCTTTTTATTTACTAGGTTTAAGGAAGGTTCTATAAAAATATCAAGAAAAAAACCTTATTACTTTTAACGTGATTTTGAAGTCGGTGTAAATTTTTAGTTAGAAAGTAATTTAAAAAATAAAACAAATATAAATGTATGTAGGTCTAGTATCGGTGTAGATATGAAATTCAGAATTGGCACATGCATGATATTTTTGCATGAAAACTTCTTTACGTAATTATTTGTCTATTGTTTTCTATTATGTAGTTCCTTTATAGGTTTATTTAGGAAATTGTGATTGTAGATAACGCATTTACTTTAAAAAAATCGATTTTAAATATTATTATTACTGGTAATTTATTCTTTTAATATTCATGAGTAACATTGTATATAACATAAGTAATAAATATTCTTCTTAGACTGATCATTTATGTGGTATCTAAAAATGTATAACTTATCTGTGGCCCAAATTTAAAATATTATATATAACTTGTATATTTATTGTAATGTTATTGTTAATTTGTTATAGATATTAATGACAATTAATATTATACAGTAATTGAATATTACAAATAAAATAAAGCTTTTTCAAGATTAACTGTCAGACCATTAGATCAAAATAGCGTGTAGAACAAAAAAAGTGTAGCTATTTTCAGCCAAACTCAATTAACTCGAAATCGTATTATTTAGCATAGAAATAGAATACCATTTCAGGCGTCAATTATTGAGTTTAACGCACTCGCTTATATATTATTATATTATATACATATACTTGCTTGCTTGTATTATATATTCTTATAATGTACTTTATTTCTACAGCCTGTTCAGCAACTCGTCCACAATCGCTTCCAGGGGCAGAGGTCCTCAATGCTCCAGCTAGCCTCAGCAGCCTGACTCCCGACCAGCAGTTGAGGGAAGATTTCACGGTCCTGGCGAAAGATCTGGTTGCTAGCCTGAAGGGTGTTGTGGCTACTTTGGTAAGTAAATGAATGTGACGTTCTGACGGATTTCTATCATGGCGGCCAATCTAATTGAGACTAGCCAAATGCATAGGAAAAGCAAAGTGCACTCTATTGCTTTCACTGTCATAATCTGTGGGCCGACAACTCGACAATTTCGTAGAAAGATCAAACGCGAGATCGACACGTTATGTTTTATTAATCTCTGTAATAATTTTTGTTCAATCCGGGACTCAAACCCAGAGTCTCACGTTCGGTGGCCATTTTTTGTTTACAATTATTTATTTACTAAATAACGCCTCGATCATTGAGGTTAGTCTTGAGGCTCAAGTACAGTTGTTGGATTTTGTTGACACGTAATATTTAGTAATAGTTTGGAACTAACATACATAACTGTAATTAATATACTATTTTCAACCATATTTTTATAACACAAGCCTCGTAGCTTACCATGGAACTAGATGGTGCTGTGTGCTAATGTCTCAACATATTTATTTATATATTTATTTTTTATTATAATCTTCATGAAAGCACAATGTTTGCTTTAATTAATGTTTTACTTGTAAGATAGCAATATATGTAGTATTATTTGAACAACAATGTATTTTATACACTAATAACGGGCCATTTAACGTAATGACCAGAGAATAAAGAGTCAAAAAGCTTCTAAGTAAAGAAGAAACCACAATCTATTATAGATAAACAAACTTGGGTTTTTGGCCACCTTGTATATAATATTTTTATATTATCTTCTAACAAAATCATTTAGACTAAATAAAGAGGGCAAAATTATTAATATTATGTATATTTCCTAAAGATAAGGGAGCGCGGTCGCCTGCGCGCGGGGTCGGGGGAGGGCGCGCCCTTGCTGCAGGCGCTACGGACGGACCTGTCCACTGCGTTACAGCAGAATTCGGGTGAGAATACATGTATTTATATCTTTATAATATCACGTTTTTACTTTTTATTTTAATTTGAAATATTATTGTATGTTATATGGCAGTGGTAGCATAGTGGTAATGAGTCTTGGGAAACAAATTGAAGCGAATTCAATCCCCGGGTCTCGCATATCTGATATTCTCATGTGCGAATTATTTCCAACATGGCGAATTTCGGATTTGAACCCGCTTCATTCAGTTTCCCAACCGAGAGCGTTACCACTGGGCTACCATTGCCTTATAATACGCTATAGAAATGGGACTTTAAAAAAAGGCAGCGAACATAGTATATTAGGTTAAGAATAAGATATATTTTAAGTAATAAAACATTTTTATTAATAAATTCCATAGATTATAAACAGTTTTATAAGTTATTCAGCGATTTCAACTCTGCTTCTATATAATTGAAGAATTTGGATATTCAAGTTTGGTAAAAGCATGATTTAAAATGTTTCAATAACCCGACTGACACATTTTTTTCTAAATATGCTACGTTTTATCAAATTTTGCAATCCCTTGCATGGACTAAACTAAAAAGTTTATATTAATTTTAGAATGATGTAAAACATATAAAAACTCCGTCATTGGTCAAATGCTAATGGTGGAATTTACATGTTTTTTAAACTCCTTAGATTTTTTCTGACACTCGCTATGTTTTCCTTCCATATTATATTAGTAAGTTATAATCATGTTAAATGTAATTTGCACATGAAAATCTCATTAGTGCAAGACCTGGGATGTGAACCCACTACTACTTTCATGGCAAGCATGCTCGCAATGGGCTATCCTCCTTCTTTACCCTCGGTTCAGATATTTTAAATAGAAAACCATGCACAAATTTATAATCAAATAAAACTTTCTAACATATATTCTATAATATTTTTAAATATAATATTTTCCTCATAGGCACGTAAGACCTTTTTTAATTTAACACAAAATTTGACGTAGATAACATTTTAACATAATTTTTGTATTGCACATGTATTTTTATGGGAATTTTGTACTTTGTTAGATTAACTTTGGAACAACGCACTTTTTGCACTAACATTTGAAACATTTAGGACTATTATTTACACGAAACGACATTGTAACCCAGTATCGTGTATAGTAATTTTAAATCTAGGCTTTAAATATGACAAAATTATATAATATATAAAATAAAAATGAAATGCTGTTCATGGGTCATCGATTATGATGCATCTATTAAGTACTATTGGAACGATTTGGCTAAATCTTAAAGATCACAACATTTTTCTTTTGCCTGCTAAGACTCAGGCTCGGATCGAACATTTTTCTATGAAAGCTCACATAAGCAACCAGCCATTTTTAACTATTCCAACGCACCGTTGCGCTATAAAACTAGTTTGAGTAGATACAAGAAACTCAAATAAGTAAATGCTAACACATTGAGATTATTTTTAATTATTTTCATCGTTTCCATATAATGACCTGTACTTTAATTACTTTTTAATATCTCGGAAACGTGACACTTTAGACGAATATATTGCTGACACTTCATTATTTGTTTAAGTATAATCTGTCCATATACACTCGTTTCATAGTGCGCCGCAAGCTTAGGAAAATATAAAATTGGTGGAATGTTGGAAATGCCATAAATATTTATTGAAATTCAGACTATACAACGTCTAATTTACGTCGTAGCTTAAAATAAATTGTCTCAATATTGAGTTACAGTATTGTTCCTTCCAAAAAATTGTTTTTTTTTGTCCTACTACCGAAGTAACAACAGTCAAACATTACCCTTCTTTATCCATAACGCAGTCGGTTAAACAAATGTAAACACCCAATAAACCCAGGAAATAAATGTGAATGAGCGAGAAGTGTTGTCCTCAGAGCTGCGGTCGCGGCTGTCGCGCATACACGACGCCTCCGACCTCGCAGAGATGTCGTCCATGGCGCACGACTGCGACCAGGCGGTAAGAGTGCTATTCCATTCTTCTTATATTATATACTAGCATTGCCCGCGGCTCCGCCCGCGTTCAGATGACCAAAAACTAAATTCTTAGGTGTTACATATTAGTATACTCTTACATTGCAGTTTTTGTATTTTTCCTCAGAAATAAGATATTTTCCCGCGGTAAAAAGTATCCTAGGATCGCGCGCTACATCGCCCGGTTTATATAGCTTGAGCAGGCGGTCGAGCGATGCGGGGCAGAGGGGATGGACTCGCCGTAGGCATCTCAATGCTCGCCAAGCATTAAAAATGTTTCGCTACTAATTACTTCTAACAACGATATCTCAAAAACTATTCATCTGATTGATTTAGTGTAAAGAGCAATTTTAATCTGCATTAAATGACTAAGCTAACTAAAATATTCATTTGGATAAGGATTAATACCGAACTAAAGAAAATAACTTTGAAAATAACGTAATGTTTTTAATTAAAAATGTTAACATAAAAGTGGTTATTGTAAGTCAACCGTAAGAGATAGAGATATGCTATCGCGGACTTTTTTGTAGCATTTTTATAGATTTTGAATTCTCTAGTACATTACTTAACTGTATCTTTGCTAGTTTACGCGGCGTTCGCGTGGAAAGTTCCCATTTGGCGAGATTTTTTGCGACCTCTTCAACATTTGTCGCCGTATTTCAGCTAATTTACATAAAAGCATAATAAATTATATACCTAAACCTTCCTCAAGAATTACTCTTTCTATTGTTGAAAACCGTATAAAAATCCGTTCAGTAGTTTTCGAGTTTATCGCGTACAGACAGACAGGAGGACAGACAGGAGGACAGAAAGACGCGGCCGGGGGACTTATTTTTATAATAAGTATAGACTAGCGACTCACCCTCGCTCCGCTCGGGTTCGTCCCTGACGTGGGCCACCCTTATCACTTAGGGGTATGGAAAATAGATAGTAGCCGATTCTCAGACCTACTGAATACGCATATAAAATTTGGTAAAAATCGGTAAAGCCGTTTCGGAGGAATACGGTAACTAACATTGTGACATGGAAATTTTATATATTAGATAAATATGAAAGTGTGTTTGTTTGTCCTTCTTTCACGTCGAAACAACGTGACAGATTGGCGTGATTTTGTGTGGAGATAGTCGAAGAGCAGAAAAGTGACATAGGCTACTTTTTACCGCGGGAGATTATGTCATTCCCGCGGGAAAAACGTTATAATACAATGCACAACAACTCATCATACCTATTTATATATATATATATATATATATATATATATATATATATATATATAATATAGCCTATCTATTCTATACTAACCTTAAAACATACTATTCCTAACCACTATTTAGTAATTTAGTAATTATAATAAACGACATTTGTATGTAAAAGTATGTACGTGTGTTCGTACGCGTGCGGGTGTGTGCGTGTGTACGTGTTTGTTTGTTAGTGCTTCACCCTGAAACTGATGGATTTGAAAGAGATTTAGTACACTGCTGTGAGCTGGAGTAACATTAACATAGTTTAACTGTTTACTTGAGGTACGAAGCAGCAGGTTTGATTCCCGCAGCGGACAATTATTTGAGTTGACTGTAATATCTATCTGGTTAAAACTGATCACGAATAAAAGGATGAGGATCAAAATTTACATTATCATTTTGTTTCTTTCTTTACTCCATAAGGAAAAAGAGGGAGAAAAAATAATATTGTGTCATGTGTATGTATTTCACAGAACCGACCGTTCCAGCACTCGCTAAGCTACAGCTCGTCGTGCGTCTCTGCCTCAGAGTTCTTCGATGCAGAGGAGCACGACGAGGATCTCAAGCAAAATGAGATACTGAATGCTAATGAGGTAAGTACATTGTATATATATATATATATATATATATATATATATATATATATATATATCATCGCCTTAGTGCTTATTTGTTTAATCTACAAATACTTTTTGTATTTTACAATACAGAGTTTTTTTCGTCTAGTTTAAAAACAAAGCTTTATTTCTAACATTTATATACATTATATTGACATTTAAAAGTAAATAATTATGTATTAAAAATTCTGTCGGTAAATTGGTCGTTTTAACAAATAAGCACTGAGACGATATATATTGTACTTATTACTGAAAGCAATGGATAGGGCGGTGTTCAATGTTTTCCTGAGAGATCGAATCAGAAATGAAGAAATACTCAGAAGGACAAAGGTTACTAACAAAGCTCGCCGAATCTTCAAGCTTAAATGGCAGTGAATGGTATTAAAAATTAAAAAACCTGACAAAATAAAAATTACAAATTTTTACTAGCGGTCACAATTAGAAAGCTAAACAAGTTTTGAAATGTCTTCATTGATGTTTGATGAATTCATTAAAATTATAATACTTAATCAGGCCTCAAACACTAACATTGAACGCACCATATATCTCATTCGGTCTGGGAGATACACTAACTCTAGATACTGCATCTCTCATTTGGTTGAACTCTCTATATATCTCATTTGGTCTGGGAGATACACTAACTGTAATTGGTATCTGTTTCCAGGCCGGTGTGATAGAGCTGGACGGCGACTCTTCGTCCGAGGCCGGCTCCCTCAGCAGTGAGGAAGGCTCCGCCAGCTCTGACAACTCCGATGCGGCCAGTGAGTTACATGTATTTTGTATCTATAAAGATAAATAAAATTGAACTATCTGTTGCATAGGAAATTATATACGGTAATTATTAGAAAAACACATTTTTTTAATGTTCCGGATAATCTCTGAAACGGCTGGACTGATTTTGGCGGGACTTTCACTGGAAGATAACTGATGTTATAGGGAGTGGCATAGACTACTTTTATTTTAGGAAAAAAGTTAGGGTTCCGCTCAAATAAATTAAAACGTACCTAGGGACGAACCCGAGTGAAGCGAGTGTGACGTCTTAGTCATCAGTATTAGCACACAGACGCAGTCACAGTCTCAGTATTAGCACAGTCTACTAATCCATAAAGTCGTCGACTGTAAGTTAAGATGGCACGACAGATAGATCACAGACCTTTAAGTGGACATCCATTAACTACGTGAGCTGTTTTTCTTTCAATTTAGTTATTTTTTTCAGCGCGCAAATTGGACATTTTAGAAGAAATGAAACATTTTTTTCTTTTTTCGTATCGCGTGAGATAATCCTAAACCCACTTAAACATTTGAGCGTGCTTTTTATTTTATTTTTCTTTTTTCTGAAAACAATTTTTAACATTGCATTTAAGGTTCAATTTACATTATTGTATATTTATTTCAACTAGAATAATTACCTAAACACAATTGGTGACAGTATTAAGAGAACTTTTGTATGGGATTGTGTATCTAGTACTTTTTGGTCGACGGTGATATATTATTAATATGCTATCTGTATCCCTAGTGGTATCAGCAGAGCAGTGCGCAACTCGAGGGACAGATGGGTCGGGGGGTGTTGGGGGTGGCGGTGGTGGTGGAGGTGGGGGGTGGACGCGGCGCACGCGCCTGCCCAGCCCCCGACCCTCGCCGGGGGGTCCCAGCCTCTGGAACCTTCTGTACAAGAACATCGGCAAGGATCTAAGCCAAGTGTCCATGCCGGTCACTATTAATGAGCCGTTGAATATGCTCCAGGTCAGTTGTTGGATGTTTCATACTTAATATTTTGAAATTTTATTTATTATTATTATGGGATATATTTATTATTATTATGGGATATATACATTAGCTAATGAAAATTTAATCTACTTCTAGTAATTGTCATATTGACTTGTAATTTTGCTTGTGTTCCTATTTTCGTTAATAGTGCAGTGTTTCGGTATCGTTGACCTGATCTGATGGTAAGGCTAGAAGGTGGATTGGTGGAATTTTTCAACGGCTTATTAGCCGCTATAGTTCATGTAGATATATTTTTTTTGATTCGACAAGTTCAATATGTTAGAATTGGATTTTAGGGCCAGATGTTTTAGTGTTATTATTAATAAAAGTGAATTTTAGTTTGCCAGTCTTCATATAAAAATTGGCATCAAAGTAACTTAAACGGCTTAAGATTTAAACTTAACGGCGAATACTTTATTAAAATACTTTCTCCTTACTTTGCTATTATTATGTTTACACTAAAAAGGGAAAAATAAAAACTTAAAATAAACTGATTTCAAAGAAAAAACATTAATGATTGGTAGTTTTCATTTACTATACAGACCTAATCAAATATTTTCGAAGTCGGTGTGCTTTGCTTTATATGGGCTGGCACCGATTTCGAAAATATTTGATTAGGTATGTATTTAATAGGTAAGCTTTAATTACTTAGCCACAGCACACCGACTTTGAAAATATTTGATTAGGTATGTATAGTAAATGAAAACTACCAATTAGTTATTTTTTACTTTTTAGTGCTTTTGTTTGAAGTCGGTTTTTATTTTTTTGTTAAAATGTTTTTATTTTTCCCTTTTTAGTGTAGACAGTAGTAGCAAATTAAGAATTCTAACGTATTAGGCTTGTCAAATCAAACAAAACAAGTCCAAACTCAAAGTATCTACTATTAGCCGTTGAAGAGTTCCACCTATCCACCTTCTGGCCTTACCATCAGATCAGGTCAACAATACCGAACCACTGTACTATCAACGGAAATAGAAACACTTGCAAAGTTTCTAGTCAATATGACAATTAGAAGTAGGTTAAATTCATCATTAGCTATTTTTTTTTGAAATTTAAATGGGACCAATCTGGAAGTATACACTTTCAAACAACACAAAATTTGTTCAAATCGGTTAATAAATGACGAAGTTCTGAGGTAACAAACATAAAAAAGAAAAAAAAACATACAGTCGAATTGAGAACCTCCTCCTTTTTGAAGTCGGTTAAAAAGTAAAGTATATATAAAGTATTTTTTTACTTTTTAATGTTTTTTTACTTTTTTTGAATGACTAACTACATAGTTATACTGTACGTGTCCAGCGGCTGTGCGAGGAGCTGGAGTACTCGGAGCTGCTGGACGCGGCGGCGGCGGCGGCGGGCGGCGCCGAGCGCTGCGCGCTGGTGGCCGCCTTCGCCGTGAGCGCGTACGCCGCCGCCGCGCACCGCGCCGCCTCCAAGCCCTTCAACCCGCTGCTGGCCGAGACCTACGAGTGCGTGCGCGCCGACCGCGGCTTCCGCTTCCTCGCCGAGCAGGTGCGCGCACACACACACTTCAACTTTCATTATGTGAAGTTCATTTATATTTTCAACATGTCCCAATATTTAGTTACAATGTTGTTCTTTGTCAGGGTGTGTTGAAAATTGATAAGTCAAATTACATGATTTTTTTTCAAAAATAATTTATATTGTTTCTTTATTTAAAATGTTATTTAAAAACCTTATATGTAACATTTTAGATTTTTTCAGTTTTAATATATCAATAACGATAATTTGAAATATTTTACACCACCACTTGTCGGTTATTAAAGATAATATTTGCCTGCAAATGTCAAACCTTAACAAGATTAAATAAATTAATATCAATTCAATTCTCTTGTTGATGACTTCGAAGCCAATTGAGCTCAGATTACTTCCAATATTACGTGTAATGAAAAAGAGACAAAAAAGATCGGTCGGAGCTGATATCAGATCTGCCCCCAGGTGTCGCACCACCCGCCGGTGTCGGCGTGCCACGCGGAGTCGCCGCGCTGGGTGTTCTGGCAGGAGGCTCGCATCAAGACCAAGTTCTGGGGCAAGTCCATGGAGTTCCAGCCCGCCGGCCGCGTGCACGTCACGCTGCTGCCCAGCGGCGACCGCTACAGCTGGAACAAGGTGAACCTCACGCTACTGCTAAATATGCTGGATCCATATTCGCATTTTGGGAGTGGTCCCACTCAGTGTGGCCTGGGCCTTTTTACTTTGTAATGTTGGGACCACACTGACGGTTTATGTCGTTGGTAAATATTAAGCGCTAGGATGGACCCAATTTAACGTATATTTTTGTGAAAGAAGGAAAATATGAAGCAATCGATGAAATCAAAATCCTAAATCCTGTTGGTTTTCCAATACAGTAATAAAGACTTACCAAATTCATTGCTCAAATGTATTTCAAGTCTTGTCTTTGATACGTTATTCATCATTTTAATACGAAAATAGCCGAAGATAAAAAAATTGTAGAAAAATCATGTCATGATTATTAGGGTTAACTGTTATCAGTTGGTTGCCATGGTAACCGTTGTTATTGTCTGACAAAGGATATACATATAATATTATATTCTTTCTTTAAATGATATTCTATAAATATATTTTTGTAATATGCCTTATTTAATTATTTTATTAATTTATCATTCCTTTTACAAACAGAGAACTGTTGTAACATACGGAATGAAATCTTTAGCTATTTTTGTTCTGTTACGCCAAAGAAGTATAACTTCTTACGTGCGTATATAAGTACACACACACACGTTTTTTATTTTAAATATTGTGTCATATTGTTGTAGGTGACGACGTGTGTGCACAACCTGTTCGGCGGCCAGCGCTGGGTGGACCAGTACGGCGACATGCACATCACCTGCCACGACACCGATATATCTTGTAAACTTAACTTTGTCAAGGTGGGTTTTAATTCGTTATTGATATATTATAATTAGTTATTTAATTTACTAATTTGTTAAATTATTTCTTGATATCGAAGTAACTGAAAATGTAATAATGAATAAATCGTGTATTCATCGCTGTTTTAGCTATAAGGCCGTCTCTTGTACATTATCCATCTATTCTGTATTACGCGAATATTTGACATTTTAAATAAAACTATCTTTTCGGATTTTGTCGCGGATTTATTTGCATTTTTTGTTTCCCGACGTTTCCAATGCTTTACAGCATCCATGGTCCATCCATCCATGTCTCTCCCGTGACCATGGATGCTGTAAAGCATTGGAAACGTCGGGAAACAAAAAATGCAAATAAATCCGCGACAAAATCCGAAAAGATAGTTTTATTTAAAATATTCTGTATTAATTAATTTATTTTTTTGTTCATGATGTACAATAAACAGTTTAATATTACTAGAGTTCGCCGAGTGGTCGAACTTCGACCATGATTATTATCGATTTTTCTTAAAAAGGGATACTAAGTTTTTGCTTCACGTAAATATATATTAACCAGTATTCGTGTGTATTGTATCGTATCGTGTCGGCGTCCCGCAGGCGAGCTCGTGGTCGAGCAGCCGGCACGAGGTGCGCGGCGCGGTGGCGGCGGGCGGCGCGCGCCTGCGCCTGGCCGGCCGCTGGTCCGAGGCGCTGTACGCCGGCGACCCGCCCGCCGCGCGCTGTCTCTGGCGCCCCGGTGAGTGCGCCCGGCCCCGGCCCGGCTAGTGATACACCCTCGCTTCGCGTCGAGTGCGTACCTATTTATCTAACGTTCAATTTCTTCCAAATCCGTTCAGCCACTTCAGCATTCCGTGCCGCCCTGGTACCCGATGTGTAATGGCGACTCAAAGACGACGGTCGATATCGGTATAAACAACTATAATGGCTAGTGACTCACTCGCTTCACTCGAGTGTCCCTTTTGTCCATCATCCGCTTTCGTATTTTTAATACGTGCCCAGTATGTATAAAAATCCATGGAATATACATTCGCTCATTCATTTTAATAGAAATGCTATTAAATTGTTATTTTAAAAAACCTAATAATATTGATCGATTTGAAAGTCTAAGCGCTTTAATACCATCTCATGGCGGTACCAGTTATATGGTTGTTATACCAGTCAACCTGTAGTTTCCCAACTATCATATAAAAATATGTATGACAGTCGGGTGCGCCTCTACATATCTACCCTAGCACAATATTTGATTTGTTTAAACGTGTGCGCTAGACGATGATAGATTAGTTTCAGACTAAAAAATATATAGTAAGAGAGCATCCATTAATTACATGAGCTCAAAATGGGAGATTGGGAGTGGGGGAGGGGGCAGTAAAATCTCATATTATATATAGTACAATCTCACGTGAAGGAATGGGGGTCCTACTAAAGTTCATTTAATCTCACTAAAGGAGTCTAAATTGAAAAAGAATGACAGTACACGTAATTAATGAATATAGAATAAGGATAGTGCGATGTGCGTGTGCCCGCAGGCGCGATGCCGCCGGAGCACGAGCTGTACTACGGGTTCACGCGCTTCGCCATGGAGCTGAACGAGCTGGAGCCCGGCATGCGCGACCTGCTGCCGCACACCGACACCAGGCTCAGGTGATGCGGATAACAAGCTTCTTTTTTTATTATATTTTTCTTCTAGTCACACTTTTTTTATTTGTTTTGCGTTTTAATAATAATATTAATTATTTTTTATAAAATAAAATATAACTTATATTTACAGCATGGTAGCAATAATATATTTTTTTTTTGCTCACAGTCAACTACTAACTAAATATGAATATGACAATAGTTTTCTGAGCAGAAGTATGGGTGTGACGAATAGTTATCCGAAAGAATAAAATCGAATAGGCCTAAAGTTTAAATTGGCAGTGGTAGCCCAGTGGTAACGCGCTCGCTTGGAAAACCGAGTGATGCGGGTTCAAATCCCGGGTCTCGCACATCTGATATTTTCATGTGCGAATCATTTCTAACATGATGACCACTTGCCTTACGGTGAAGGAAAACATCGTGAGGAAACCTGCATGTCTGAGAGAACCTAGCAAGTTTTCGAAAGACATGTGAAGTCCGCCAACCCGCACTTGGCCAGCGTGGTGGACTATGGCCTGATCCCCCTCGTATTGAAGGGAGGCCCGTGCCCAGCAGTGGGACGTTAAAAAGGGCTGAATACATACATACATAGGCCTAAAATGCCATCTCTAAGCTATATATAACATGAGTATGTGTCCGTCAGGCCCGACCAGCGCGCGCTGGAGGAGGGCGACGTGGACGCGGCGGAGGCTTTCAAGCACCAGCTGGAGCAGGCGCAGCGCGAGCGCCGGCGCGACGGCGGCGACCACGCGCCCGCCTGGTTCCGGTGGGGACGCGCACACGCACACACACGCACACACACACACACACACACACACACACACACACACACACACACACACACACACACACACACACACACGCGCGCGCACGCACGCACAAATATATATACACAGACATGCGCCCATACATACACTCACACACACCCGCGCACACTCACACACGCATACAAATATACACACACATGCACATGCAATAATAATATCCTTCAGTGTAACTCTCCTAATCCGCAAAAAAAAAATAGTAGAATACTTGTGTACGCTACCACATTAAGTGCACTCTCTATTCGTTTTAACTCTCATATACTGATGGTACGACAATACAACACAACTCTGGGCTGCCGCTAATTCATTTATCTATACATATAATAAAATTGTAACTAAGTCGAATCTGTATATTAAATATTTTTTGGAAAACCTTATTGAAATGTACGTTGTTATCGATACAGAGGCCGAATCTATAATTTTTAGAATTTTTGTCTGTCTGTTACCGCATCATGGAAAAACCACTGGAGGGATAAGATGAAATTTGCTATGATGATAGCTGGTTATCCGGATCAACATATAGGATACTTTTTACCGCGGGAAAATATCCCATTTTAAAAAATACAAAAACTGCATTGTAAGAGTATACTAATATGTAAAACCTAACGATTTGGTTTTTGGTCATCTGAATGCGGGCGGAGCCGCGGGCAATGCTAGTGACAGATAAATCCAGTAAATACTTTGCTCAACCCCGAAACCGTCCATAAACCCAGAACCGTCCGTAGTCTGCAATCTGTAACCGTAAATAGTAGCTGTGTCTGAGCATTTTTGTTTGCGTACATACTTACATATATTTAATTTTCAGTGAAATTGGCTGTCTGAAATCTCTGGCTGTACGCCATATACATTATATGGTTGTCTAGCAAAAACAACCTCTAGGCTCCTAGCAATAACAACACTTTTCGTATTGCAGCAAGACCGTGGAGGGCGGTGAGGAGACGTGGACGTTCACGGGCGCGTACTGGAAGGCGCGTGAAGCGGGCTTCCCGGGCCTCGCCTCGCCGCGCCTCTGGTGACTCCTGGCCGATTGCGTTAGTACTAAATTTTTTTTTAATATTGGAAAATGTATTTACGTATACATACGGATGGTTATGTAAGATTCATCGGCTAGGAAGCCAGTACTACCCGCGAAAACCCAACAAAGCCTCCCCCGTCTTAATGGGGCGTCGCAGGATCGCTTACGCATTCAACTACGAAGCCCCGACGGAAGGTCTGTCGAAGCAGACCACCACAACCACGGGGTTGCTCCAAGGTCCACTCTGCTGTCAGAGAAGTACCAGGAGCAACCCGCACGGCGCACCGCCCACCGAAGTGGGCCACTTCCCTGTGTGTTTCTTGACTTCGCGAGCGCATCGACGCGTCAAATATTAACACACAAAATCTCATTTTCACAGGTTAATTTTGTTCATGGAAACTAAATTCGTCAAAAACCGTTCTCCCTGATTTAACCGGTTAAAACGTTAAACCGAAAATTACCTTCGGTTTAGGGTTAATGACCGAAACCGGTTCAATTGAACTGGTTTCCGATCCCTGAATTTAACTATTATAATAATAATAATGAGTTTATCCACTTTGCAGCGTGCGGCGGCGCAGTGCGAGGTTCTCTGCTAGGTTGTGCTTCGCTTAGCAACATATGGCTTTACTAGCTTGTATACTATAAGATATTACACTTGTTTGTATCACACGGGATGTATTGTTATCGAATCTGTTATTATTTATTCATATCGATAATCGATTATCGATTTTTTTTTGTATATAAGCAAATAATGGTTTCATCGCGTATTTTCATCGTATTCGAAAGAATGATCTGCTAATTTAAAAAATCGTTTATTATTTATGGTATTATGTGATACGAAAGTATTTAATTTTATCTGTTTTCAAAATGAGTTTGGTTATTTTGTTTATAGTACACCATGTATTTTTAACAATTGATCGATTTTTACTTATGACTGTATTTGTGTGAATTCAGTCAGTGATATTAGTTCAAAACTGTTTTAAACAAATATTTAAAAAAAAAGTGATAATGATGGCGTCATTTAATTTGTAAAAATCTTTACGTATGCCTTTATAGTAATATATAATTTCAAAAAAATATATAAAAAAAATATACAAGACATTGATTCAAATTTAAAATAAAAATCAAATAGTGACGTAAAATAAAAAAGCATAAAGAAACTTTGGAGTTTAAAATATTTATTGGTTGATTATAAATCGATAATATATCATAGTGATGTTTTTGTATACGTATCGATTTTGTATTAGATTTTTTTTATATATTAACAATAAAAGACAACACGGGTATTTATCTAAGCTATTGAATTGTATCAGATTTATTATTAAAATCTATATTAGTAACAACATTAAAATAACATCGATTCTTCGATTGGCAGTTGACAGATTCTATATCCTAGTGGCAAGTCGCAGAACTAACTTTGACACATGAAGTAACTATTTACTATTTAGGCTGTATTGCAATGTTTTTAAAAGTATATATCAAAGTATCCACAGATGATATATTGTTAGAATTTATTAAGTAATATTGTAAACTGCTCTCGTTAGTTCAAAAAAAATTCGCTAGAAAAATCTAATCATTGCAAATATATATTTTTGGATATAAAGAATATGTGACCTTACATATTCATTATATCCATTTGTATAAACTCTCAACTCGACTTCTTTGAAGTTGGTTGAGTTAGTAATAGTTGAGGATGCTAATTAAACTAGTGTGCTATTTTAATTATAAAAGTTTTTGAAACAAAAAGTATCTATAAATGTGGCCACTAAATATATTATTTAAAAATAAAATATTTTTTTTTGTTTAAATATTTTTTTTATTTCTATAGTAATTTGGCTGTGAAAATGTTTCCAATATATGTACATAAATAATGCAAAATTCTTTCTGGGCTTTATAGCTGCTAATGTGTAATATTACAATTCTCATTATTAATTATTGATTTTCACATATTTTTAATACTTGCAATAAATACTTTTCGTACGCTTTTGTACGTGTTAATTAAATTTTTAAATTATGATAACTAAACGGCAAATTGTATTTTGCTTCTCTTTTTTTTTGTTAAAAATCTTTTATAAGAATTATCTATCTGTGAACCTAGTAGATGGGTTAGTGTTGCTAGAAAAATATTTTGTTAAATTTAATTTTAATTGTCGTTATTTTTTCTATACACACATTTATTTATTTATTATTAATTAATTGATACTCGAATATCGCTTTAGAACATGGCAACACTAACCTACAATTAAAAATACATAAATTTGGCTACTATGACAATTTTTAAATTATTTTTATTCATAATATAGTATATACATAAATAATTATGGACAGATGTCTATCATGTCAGTTTGTTATGTAAATAGAAATATTGTCAATTGGAAAGTTATCGGCACGTCTAGGCTATTGCACAAAATTGTTTGACCGTTGAGCGTCGAAATTTATCTGTATAGTTTTGTTAATAAATTAACGCTTGTCTACGATCGAGTACGAAATATGGCGATTAAATGTTTGTAATAAATTTTTTTAAATTATTTATTTTGTTTGTCTGTCTGTCCATTTATTAATTACTCATAAAGTCTTCAAAATATTCAGCACAGAAAATTATATCAGTCATTTTTTTATTCATGCTTTTTTGTAATATCATTTTTTTTTGTATCTTGTATTTCCCGCCATATTTCATCTTCCGCCATTCTTCTAACTATTCTCTAACTATCGATGTTGTTGTTAGTATAATGTATAGGGTTTTTTGTAAATAGACCGTGAATATATTATATTACTTTATAAATTATATGAATTATCGACGCTTATGTAATGTGCATTCTAGCCAGTTTGAAAGTACAATTTTGTTAAGGACAAATGTTTATTGAAAAGGAAATTTTTCCATTGTTTAAATTTTCAACTATCAAGATTAGTATTTTTTTTTTTTGGCAAAAGTATTTATAAAGACTGCCTCGATAATCGTATAACTTTATAAAACGCTTAATTTTGATATTTTTCCATGCATTGGATGTTTTTTTTTTTGTAATGTTTAATTTTTAAGCAATGGAAACGATTTTCGGCCAAATATAAATGAGAGAAACAACAGATGAAAATGTTCTATTTTTTACGGGATGTGTTGTTTGTATTAATAATAAGTTTCTTTTTTGTCCTCACTCTTGTGCAAAACGCAAGTATTTTTTTCCATTAGTGTCAGTTAAATTATAATTCAAATGCTTTGTTCGTCTAGTTACGGGTGATTTGGTTTTTTTTTTTATTACATGTGGAAAATTATTTTAAAAGTGTCACGTTATATAAATTGACAATAAGCTAATTTCGAATGTTACTGTTACGTGCTGTTATAAACTACGAAAATATTTCAATTTAAATACTTCAAAAGACGACAGACAGCCTATATATTATTTTTTTGTTATTTAGTGTACCACGTTTCACTTTGAATAATGTTAGAATAAAAATAATTTTATTTTTATTGTCGTATTATTGGTACATGAGCGGTCTGTCGTCTTTCGGAGTATAATTAAATGAGTAAATATCCCTACAGAGACAAAGCTTCGCTACGTTGGGTACACTAATACAATATAGTCATGGCGGAGTTACACATATTCCAAGTATTTCCTGATAATTTTTTGCCGCCCTTCACCTTAACAATTTTCAGTTTGTAATCATTTTTACAATCTAAAAAATTGGATGAAATTACACAAAGTACACAAGTTTTTGGGTATATTTCTAAGCCAATCAAAGCTCAACTATGTTCCGAATTTTTGGTTCCCGACGTTTCGAATGTTTTACAGCAATCATAGACACGGGAGAGAAGGTTTTAGACGTCTAAAATAAATCTGCGAAAATATGGTTTTATTTAAAGTGTCAAATATTCGCGTAAATCAAGGAAAGTATTACAGTAATACGAGATACTGTTGACAACCTCAAAAGAACACACAGTACCGCTTTATGTAGTAGTATACCTATCGTTGCACTCTCTGTAGGAAAATTTAGCTATATAATTGTTATTAGAATATGAGATATGAATATTCCGTATGTTTACGCTGTGGGCCTATCGCATCTGAATTTCTGCACTTTTAAGATTATTGAACAATTAGAATTTATATAGTATCATCAATAAACATCGCTTTGGACGGCAGTATGACGTGCGTATGTATATTATTATGATATTGTCGAAATATTTCTCTATTAGATTTTCTTTTTTATGTAGATATTCATCCTATAATATCTCACTATCTCAATTGCTTCCAATTGCATTCTGTTCAATTTTACTACACAGAGGTCGTAGATTCGATTATAGTATGATGCTTACAAATTACATGTCTTAGTCTTGTTCAGAAATTGAAAAAAAAATCGATTATATTAGTAATTTGAAAATCATCATTATATTTATAACCTATTAAAAAAATATATTATATTTTTCTTAACTGGCCTCCCTAAATATTACATAACTAGTTCCGTGCTTAAAAAATATATTGTGCCGTCTGAAGTTAACTATCATAAACATACCAAATTAACGTTTTTACACATCATTGAATCATTAGCATTCCATCTATAAATGTATAGTTTCAATATTTTACTAAAAATTCGTTAAATATTATAAAAACAGCTATAATTTTTTGTATTAAAACGTATTTTTCGATATAAATTGTGGTAAGTGATTGTGTAGAGAGGCTAGGTTGTGGGACGTGTTATTGTTGAGAGATAAAACATATGTAATAAGAACAAATAGAGTGTATGATGGAATGGAGAAGTGACCAGAGATTGTAGAACAATATCCAAATATAACTAAACTGGATGTTTTTTTTTTCAACAATATAATAAAAAAAAAATATTTTTAATACACCATATATGTAATATTATGATGAAAAAGATTTTTTTTCTTATTACTTAATTGTTCATTCTTTATTAAAATCTGTATAACGGAAACGAGATAGAGAATAAAAAAACTTGTAGCAGATTATTAAAAAAACCTAGCCAATAATATTAATATGCTGCAATTGCATAACATTTTTTTTGTAATGGTCAATAACCGTTTTTTTTTTGTGGAATTGGTTTGACCACAATTAATAGATTTCTAAATTAAATATCTATAGTAGCATATTAATATTAATAAAAAAATTCTGGATACTGTGTATGGTGTGCCCATCGATTTGTGTTCTTGTGATCTTTCTTCGTTTGTTAACATCATGAGGTTGCTGAATAGTTACTACATAAAAATATAATAAATCTTAACATATTTGCGAATAGTTTTAGGGCAAATCTATGGGTCATTTGTGGGATTTTTATTGAGTTTGTGTGGGATTTTTTGTAATATTGGTATTCATGGAATATTTTTAACATGTTTTTGAGTTGAAATCTGAAACACAGCTATTAGTTTAATAGTATCAGTTATTATAAATCAAGTACTTAATGCCTCCTAGTATTGTTTTGTACATATTTTGTGGTGCGTTGTTATTATTTATATAAATAATTAATTACTTTGACATTATGTAATAATGTTTGTATTTTTATTCATGATTCCAGTTTTAAATGTAATTAAAATTATAATGAATTACTAATAATTTTATTATCATCTGTGTTTTTATTCTTCTTCCACTAAACACCGTCTCCTATAGAAAAAAAAAGAAAAGTATGTAATTTTTATTTACAATGTCTAAATAATCCATACTAATATTATAAATGTGAAAGTGTGTTTGCTTGTTTGTTTGTCCTTTCACGTGGAAACGGAGTAACGGATTGGCATGTTTTTTTGTATGGTATATTTGAAAGACTGAAGAGTGACATAGGCTACTTTTTGCCGCGGGAGATTATCTCATTCCCACTATATACGTATTATATATACAACCGAAAAAAAATTATTTTTCATCAGAATTACTTGAAACTTACTATTAATGCTCTTCAATACAATTAAATAAATACGTGTTTTAGAATTTTTCGAAACTCATCCCTAAGGGGATGAAAGTTTGTATGAAACCTACCTTTTTAGAGTTTTTTTTTGCAGTTTAGCACGAGCGAAGCCGCGGAATATGCTAGTAGATAAATAAGTACTGAGTTACAATTCTATAATGGTAATCTATGGTAGACTCGCTGTTGCATAGTAATGTATACCATTTAATTTAATTATTGGAAACATAGTAAGGGACAAAATAAACATTAGAAATAAACTTGTAACGCCTAGATTTCATGTCCAAAAGGTCTTCATGGTCCTGAGCATCGAATAAAATAGTATCAAAGCGTAATCTGTACATTTAATATATATTTTTTAAATAATTGCTTTGGATTTTTTTTCTGTATTGTACTTACATAGTCTGTTTATCTCTGTAAAAATGGTCTGTGTTATCCGTAAAAAGTACTGAATGGATTTTAACTAAATTTTGTGTAGTGATAACTTCTTGCTCGGGTCAACTTTTTTAATTTAGAAAAAATATCATTCTCATGGAAAAATAATAACAGGTTCGGCCGAGTTGTTCTTCATACGAAAATTTCAATTATTACATAAAAACTATAAATGCCATACTAAAAAAAAGTACCTCTATATTTAAAAGAGCACAGTTGCTCTTTTAAATATAGGGTCGAACCCAGGACTTAACAAAAGTAGAAACTAGAAATATTAAAAATTGCCCCGAATTGATCATACTAAATATGTGAACGTTAAAAACGTTCTGAAATTTAAAAACATGCAAAATTAAAAACTATTTAACTAAAATACTCTAATAAAAATTACGCATATTTATAATTGTAACCAAAAAAAAGGGTACTATTTACATAAAAAAATGAATTTATTTAACGTGATGGTTTTATAATACTTGAAAATGAAATGTCATTCATAAAGTGATTACTAAACGGATTCTATAAACGATACGAAACAATGATTTGGCAACTTAATTAAATGAAATTTGAAAAGAAAGCTTACTTGAGCAATTTCTTCTAAATAAAAAAATACGAAGTATAATTTATTTAAGCCATAAATCTGTAGATACAATCGATGGTATAAAAGGTGAAACTTTTACTACACTAGTTTCTTATAAAGAGGTGGAAATCATATGGTAAGTCTTTTGAATGTTAGCGGTTTCTTTTACTTATTTTTATCTTGTTTGTGTTGTATATTGACATGATTTGGTGTTATATAAGTTACAATGTTAATAGTCAAGATAATTGCCAATCATGCAAGTGCGTATCACCGCCCCTTTCTGCACTTTGCAGGTGAATGACCTACATTTCGTGTCTAGTTATTTTTGTAATAATTGGCCTAATATTTTATTTTATAGTTTAAACTATAAATTATGCGCCCAACCTTTTGAGGTTATGTATTTATTAACATTATAAAAAATTGAAAATAATATTCACATTAAATAGCTATTGTTTCTTCATATTATATTTAAGTACCTAATACAAAACAATGGTAATACATATTATCTAAATATCTATTTATATCATATAAAACATGTTATTGGTGATATGCAGTTAAACAGTAGAAAACAATATAAATTTTCAGACTTTAATGTGTTTCTAAGGAAACAATGGATTATTTGTGTTATCTATAAATTACATGACAATTTTTATTGTTCTTTTGTCTTACAAACTAGTTTGTTGTTTATTTTAAACATTTGTCTACAGTTTTTATAGTCTAGAATGACTATGAGTGGCTTACAAGTTATGCTTTTTGTGGAGTTGTATAGTATACAAAACTTGTGGCATAGCTAAGGTGGGTGGGCGGTCTTCCCTGAGTGTGACAACAATCAATTGTTGCCTCGCTTGTCACCCATGCTAGCTGTGCCCCTGCTTAAAATTTTTTATTACACTCCAATTATGTTAAAAAAGTTTTAAAAAACTTGTTTAACCTCAATCCTGGTACAATAATTATAAATAATATATTTTATTAGATAATGAATTGGTCTGTTCAAGATGTATGTATGTAATAGTAATGATTACTATTCTTTTTTAGTCCGAAGGATGTCCAATTCGTCTGTGAGTATTAAGTTTAAATGGGGTCTGAGTGCCTCAGACCCTGAACAGAAACCAGTGCTGTTTGTAGGGCAGGCAGCCCACCTTGCTGCTCTCTCCTGGCAGGATGTACGCTGCAAACTTGAACCTAAAGTGTCTGAAGAGGTTAGTAAATTCATAGAATTAAACTTTCTATCAATAGAAATAAGATATTTATATTGTGTAATCTATCTCATACATGCTTTTTCCTCTTAATTTATCTTTTATATAAATAATTTATCTTTAATATAATACACATGATAAGTGCCTACTAAATAATATATAAGGAAATTTAATAGTACAACATCAAATTTTTACTTGAATTTTTACATCATTCTTTTTACTTTTCTTTTAAAAGATATCATTGTCATTATTCAAATATTCTAGACTTGGCGGAGAGGCATAAATGTGGCATCACCAGGGGAGGTATGTGAGATATGGCCTCGTGGTGCAGCGTTGGGTGTATTACCTCCGCGTCGTTCTCGTCACGCTGCGCCTTCTCGCTCTCATGCCTTGTCCAAGCTTGTGAGGAGTGCTGTACGCTCGGTTGGAGATGAATTTGTTGTGGTGAGTCACCTTATAACTGTGTTAATACATTTGTTATTTAATTGTTAATATTTGTTAGTTTAAATTGTTAAATGATTTTATTCATTATTTAATATATTATGTCATATAAAATATTGCAGACATTTATTAAGTAAACCTAATTAACATAGTACAAGTACAAAATCTAAGGCTGTTCCAATGTATTGAAAGTGAAAATTTAATTAATATAATAATTTTTGCTTTGCTATGACCCTTAAATGTTTGACAGTAGTTGATGTAATCACCCAGGTTGTAGTCTATCTGTATACTGAATCCCATCCAAATCACTCCACCTGTTTTAGGTAAAGAAGTAACAAACAAACACACACACACACACTCACATACAAATGTTCTTATTTATAACACCATCTAATATATAAATGCACTTCACACAGCTGGTCTGCCGCAAGCGCGACGTGCTAGCTAGCGCCGTGGCCGTCGCCCGCGCTGTACCACTGTACAGCGCGCGCTCGGGGCCCGCCCCCGTGGGCGTGGGCGTGCCGCCCGTCCCCGCCGCCCCCGCTCCCGGCGTCAAGCGGACTCTCACTGTGGAGATACACATTGCTCAGGATGCAGGTGCTGTGCAGATATATAACCATTAACCTTTCTTTTACATTGCAAATAATCCTAAATGGCATGTCTGGTTCAGCAGACATATATTCAAACATTTACTTGATGGTCGAGAAACGGATTGAAGGTTAGGCTTGCCATGAGATAGCACTGCAGTGCTTTAACTTTAAAATAGATTAAATTGATATTTTTTGTCAACCCTTGGATTTGACAGCATTTCTGTTAAAATCCGGGATGATCATCTGCAATTTGGGTTTGTATACAGTGTGTAATTACTTCATCTACAATATAGAACATACAAAACAATAACAAAACTTTGAAAATATTTATTTGACAAGACTAGATACTAAAATATTGACCCCATTGACTAATCCATCCATTGCCTTCTAGAGGGTGACTCTTCAGACGAGGATGGGGGTGTGGAACCCGAACTTCTTGACGGAACACTCTCAAGCGAAGATTTGGCAACATTGCAGGATATAGCTGACGCTACTCGCTTAGCTGCTAAGATAACTGATATGCCTGCTAACATAATGGGTGTTGATGCTTTTATTGAGGTATGATTTTAGTATACTTTAAATGTTTTTGGATTTTTTGTGGTATTATAAATTAAGAGAACAGTTTTGTTTTGTATGTAAAAATTAAAATTTATTTTATTATTATAAGTATATTTATATATATATATATATATATATATATATATATATATATATATATAATTACCATCTTATTTAAATTATGGACCAAATACCTATTTATAAAGCAAATAACATAAGCTTCAAAATTTCTAAAATGCATTTTTTTTCAAATATACATAAAAATATACAATTAATATTTATAATTTATATCAAAGTACCAATACTTGTTGCACTTTGCAGAGAGACAAAATACATTTATTCATATATCTCAATAGAATATTTTTTATATATATATCAATAGAATTCACATTTATAAGTAAATATATGTGTATTCTTTTGGTAAATTGGTCGTCTGTCAAATAAGCCGACGATATAATAAGACGACGATAGGTATAAAATTTAATTTTAATCATCTTTGTTACCAAAATAACCAAAAAAGTACAGCTTACAAAATCTTATCTAAAGGTACACTAGGCAAAACTTGTATCATTGAGTACCACAAGTCGATTGACAAAAGGAATATTATGTACAAAAACAAATCTATGGAACCATATATTTTTCCGGGATAAAAAGTAACTTAGGTGTTATTCCAAACTATAATCTATCTCTGTGTCAAATTTCATCCAGATCCGTTCAGTCGTTCTGGCGTGATTGAGTAACAAACATCCATCCATCGAAACTTTCGCATTTATAATATTAAAGGGGTTAATAATGTGATGTTTGCAGGAGGCGTACAACGTAGCTAAAGAGCTGGACATAGGCGAGCCCACGGTGATACGTGGCGAGGAGTTGAAAGAGCGTGGTATGGGCGGGCTGTACGGCGTGGGCGCGGCGGCAGCGCGCCCGCCCGCGCTGGTGGCGCTCTCGTACCGCGCGGGGGCCGGCGTCGCCGACAGCGTGGCGTGGGTCGGCAAGGGCATCGTGTACGACACCGGCGGCCTCAGCATTAAGGCAAGGGTAGGTTTTGTTATTGCAGAGAAAAAAAATAAAAAATAAATGAGAAAAAATGCGACATCATCAACCAAGAGTATGTAAAGAGTGGATGGCTGAGGAGGTTTTGTTTATCATTGCTTGTGCTATAGGTTGGCACGAGTATGGAGTGTGATATTGCCAGACTTACTCATATTATAAAAACTATTATATGCTTGTTTGTTTGTCTTTGCTTGTGTTTATTTCACTCGTCTGATAGTGCAGAGTGGCATACGCAGAAGTACTATGGATTAGAAAAAGTAATGTATTACTGAATGTTGCCGAGGCAAGTTTTTATAGTGTATGCTGAAGTCCCTGGTATATTTTTGTTTGTGTTTGAGTCTGTGTGTGCGTGTGTTTGTGTGTTGTTGTATGTGTGTTTTATTACTCTCCAAGATGAATTAACTAATAAACGACTAGAATTGAAGAATTTAAATGGAGATAATAATAATAAGAAAATATAAAAAAATTACAGACATCAATGGTCGGCATGAAGGGCGATTGCGGCGGCGCCGCGGCCGTGCTGGCCGCCTTCCTTGCTTTCGTGAAGGCCAAGCCCTCCATCAACATACACGCAGTGCTGTGCCTTGCCGAGAACAGCGTGGGGCCCAAGGCCACCAGGTATGTGGGACTGTGGGGGAGTTAGTTTTCGGGAAGAAAAAAAGGAACCCTTATAAGATCACTTTGCAGTCCATCTCGTCTTTCTGTCTGTCTGCCTGTCTGTTTGTCTGTCTGTCAAAACTCTTCTTCTCAGGAACGTGTTTAGGTATGAAACTGAAATTGACATCAAATATTTAGGTCTGGCATCCCTTTGAGCCTGTGAAAAAGTCAAACTTCTAAAACAAAGTTTCATAAGAAATGGCCGTTTATGCAGCATATTTTGACACTTGCAAGAAAATCAAAACTTTTAGGGTACTTCCCGTTGACCTAAAATTATGAAATTTGGCAAAAAGCAATGTCTTATAGTACAAGTAAAGGAAAAATCCGGGAACCGATTTTTTTTAAATAGGTACATAAATTAAAAAAAAAAATCTTATTGTGCGAGTCAAACTTACACTTGTTCGATTCTTTTTTAAATAGTGATTTTGAAGAAGGAGACAGTTAATTTGATTTTTGTTGTTTTCTTTTTTTTCTTTTTTTTTTTGGGTGTGTGTTACACGGTATGTTTACGGTATAATACTGAAATTAGATACTTACCAATATTAGTTAATAAATTTGATCAAAGTACAAATTCCTTACAAATTAGCCATTTAAGATTGAATGCTGAGCCTCCTCCTTATCCATCTGTCAACAGATCAGCTCATTGAAACCAAACTATTAATTTTTATTATCTGTACATAAAATGTACTATAATTCAATTTATCTATATCTTTTTGCTCTTCAGACCTGATGATATCCACCAGCTGTATTCAGGACGAACCGTTGAAATCAACAATACTGATGCCGAAGGTGAGTCATGATTTGTGTTTTTTTTTATACTAGGGCCCATTGATCAAAAAAGTACTAGATACGCAATCAGCGACAAAAAATGTCCTCACCGAATTAGCGCTCATTTGAACATTTGAGCGAGGTTTCAATTCAATCCTTTTTTGTGAAAACAACTTTAAACATGTCATTTAAGGTTCAATTTACATTGTTGTATATTTATTTCAACTAAATTGCCAAAACACAATTGGTGACAGTAAGTTACAGGATAAATTTTAAGGAAAAAACAACCAACCTTTTGTAATTTCTAACCTATCAATTTTAGTAGAAAGTAAAATTTATTACAAAGATTGAAAGATAATACGAATATTCACAGGTCGGCTAGTGCTGAGCGATGGCGTCGTGTACGCTCAGCGGGACCTCAAAGCGGACACCATCGTAGACGTGGCCACGCTCACCGGGGCACAGGTGAGGTTTTTGTCACTACCTACCTTTTTTATTTAACTTTGAGAAATATTATACTTTCTTAAATTTCGTGCTCGATATTGATTGCTATAAATATTCAATTTTTACGATTTCTAAAAGTAGAGTTAGTATAAAAATATTGTACAAAGCACTTTAGGCTTTTTTCACAATAACATTAATACTTCTTGTTAAATACTTTATACTTATACTCAAATAAAAATTATGTTTTATCGTTTAGTATAGATTTCTCAGAGGTAAGATATTTTCCCACAGTAAAAAGTATCCTATATGTTGACCCGGATAACCAGCTATCATTATACTAAAATTTCATCAAAGTATGTCCAGTGGTTTTCTCGTGATGCGTTCCCAGACAAACAGACAGATAAAAATTTAAAAAATTATCGATTGATAATAATGATAATATCAATAAAATATATTTAATGCACAAATTCAACTCAATTAATTTTTTTTTTATATGTATAGATCATTTTTTACATTCTAGTTCGGTCCATCATTAAATCGTGTTTTTTATTTATGTTTTATGATATGAACAACACGTTGTTTTGTGCAGGGCACGGCAACGGGCAAGTACCACGCGGCGGTGCTGTCCAACTGCGCGCAGCTGGAGCGCCGCGCGACGCGCGCCGGCCGCGCCTCCGGCGACTTGGCGCACGCGCTGCCCTTCGCGCCCGAGCTGCACTTCGCAGAGTTCAGCAGCGTCGTCGCTGATATGAAGAACAGTGTTGCCGTGAGTGTACACACAGATATACATACACACGCAGAGAGAGAGAGAGATAGACAGACATATACATATCGGTGACTCAGTGCTTATGTGCTCAAACATCCGTTTTGCCAGAAGTGATTTTGATATATAATTATTGACTTTTAATGAAATAAAGCTTTGTTCTTATTAATATAGAGAAAAGATCTGTCTGTTGTAAGTACATACGACAAGTATTGGTTGTTTAAACAAATAAGCATTAAGGCGACAATATGTATGGTCGTACACACTTACACACTCATACGCATATATCCACACATACCCATTACATACCCATACATACCCATACATATACACATACACATACGCACGCATGCGCCCACACACTAGTAAACATAAATTTTAGCATAATAACGATTTGTAATGAATATTAACTTAAGTAAAAATTTGGATAGAATTTATAATTCTTAGAAATATTTAGACAAGATGAATAGATGAACAAACCCATTACTAAGAATTTCTTAGCAAAAATAATCAATAATAAAAAATATAACTTACTACACTCTACATTGTTATGTAACTTGTTTTTACTATCATATACAAGTACAAATGTAATATATTGATCGTATATTGTATGTACCCGCTGGCAGGACCGCAACAACGCGCAGCCGTCGTGCGCGGGGCTGTTCGTGCTGGCGCACCTCGGCTTCGACTTCGCCGGCCGCTGGCTGCACGTCGACATGGCCGCGCCCGCGCACTGCGTACGTATCCCCCTCTGTCTGCTCGTCTGCTTGTTTTGCAGTGTGTGTGTGTTAGATCAGTTAGTTGCGTTAAATGCTAGAGAAATTTCTCGCATGTGATGAGAGATATTTGCGCTGCTTCAGCTTTGGCAGCGCCAAGTTAGAATTGAAATACAGTCTCTATCTTCTAAATCAGCTGTTCATGATCTATCATTAAATCGATTGGTCGATCGAATCGACATTAACAAATATTTTTGAAGCAAATTGATTTTTTAGATATTTATCTGTAGATACAGATCAATAAAATTGAAGTATCTATAATGACGAAATAGCATATTTTTGCTACACTCTTTTCTGACTAATCTCCAAAACGTCTGGACCGATTTTGACGGGACTTTGTAGCTGATGTTATAAGGAATAATGTAGGCTACTTTTATTTTAGAACAAGGTTCGAGTTCCGCGCAAAAAATTAAAACGTATGAAACTGTAAATAAAATCTGCATAATTAGGGACGCATCTGAGCGAAGCTAGGGTAAATCGCTAGTTTTAAAATAAAATCTGAGATATAATAGGATGATGATATAGACTGAGAGTGTCTCTTCTGTGACTATAATCGCTGTAAAGCATTCGAAACGTCGGGAGCCAAAAATCAAAAAAATATCACAAAAAAATCCGAAAAGATAGTTTTATTTAAAATGTCAAATATTCGCGTAAATCTAAAAAAGTATTAATATATAATATGTTATGTATTAATTTTATCCCAGGGTGAGCGTGCGACGGGCTACGGCGTGGCGCTCCTCAACGTGCTGTTCGGGGCACACACGCGCAGCCGCCTGCTGCGGGCGCTCTGCCCCCGCTGACGGCGCCGCGGACAACCCCTGTGCTACATACACGGGTTGTAACACCCCTTACATATATACCAGTGGCGAAGGCTCCATACAAGATAATTAAACATTATTTTGCTATAATTTTACAAAGTTACTTTTGATTTTTTACACGTATAAATGTACTTTTCGAAATATATAATAGCTTTATTTCTTTCTGTATTTCTTTCTGCATGAATATATATATAAAAATTGTATATTTTTGGAACGGCTTAACTCTGCTAAAATTTCATCCTTCGCCACTGGTATGCACATACATATATAGTACATACACAACACGTTTAGATGATCTATAGTTTGTTAGGAAGGAGGGTTATATAAAGTAGCGTATATTCATAGGAAATAAAGCTTATGTCAATATCCTTCAGGGATCCTCTCAATGATGGAAACCTGTATGTCTAAGAGAACCTAGCAAGTTTTCGAAAGACATGTGAAGTTCATCAAGTATTTGAGCAGCGTAGTGGACTATGGTCTGTATCTTCTCGCAAAATTAAATGATGTTGAAAATGGCTATTATCATTATATAGGGAATATCAATTCAATTAAAATAAAGTAGAACAACCCGTAGGATTATACATCGCCTTACGATGTGTCTCTTGGCTTCGCAGCTAGTAGACGCTAGTGTCCCCCTCCCCTCTCCCTCCCCTCCCTCCACATTGAGAGGGGGTAGATAGATAGCCCTCCTTCAATACCCTATAATATAAAATACTAAATGCTCTTTATATAAGTAATCGATAAGTTCTTAAATGCTAATAGAATTTTGCATATATAAATAAACTTAACATTCAATTTCATATAAATATAAAATATATGAGTCAACTATATATCCTATTTGGATTAGGGACATATTGTATACTATTTTCTATTATAATATTAAGTGTAAATTCAGTCAGAAATAGTACAGTTGTAATGATGTTTCGTAAATTAATATTAATGTTGTATTATAAAATCTAAACTAAACTAAGCTAAATATAAATTAAAAAATTAATAAACCCCCTACGCAAATTAATTGTCTTTTAACGATTACACTGGCACGCGTGAAGCACTTAATCAAGTAATCATACGCCAAAATGCCTTACATCATTTTGGAAAAGAGCTGATACTCTCACACTGCTGGACCGATATTAATCAAACATAGTTAAGAACCACCGCAAGAAAACTGGCTTTCAAAAGAAAAACCGCATCGAGATCGGCTCATCCGTTTGAGAGCTACGATGCTACAAACAGACAGACATCGACGTCAAACTTAAAACACCTCTTTTTGCGTCGGGGGTTAAAAATACAGTGAAGTACATGTTTTATAGATACTATATTGTAAGTATTATGTGTAGGATGAATATTCAATACGCAAAGGATATTTTTTATTGCCTTTGGTATTTCTTTTTTTTTTTTAAGAAAAATAATTAAAAATTTAGACTGTAGTCCATTTTTAATCTGCATTTTTTAATTTATATTAATTTGTGGTCAAATTGTTTATATTTTAAGTATACTTCATCAATATTACCATTTAGTTTTTATACATAGATATAGAGAATCTGCTGAGAGATACTCTCATAAAATTGATCAATCTCTAGAAAGCAAAAGGGATCGCGCGGCCAATACCTGTCTTTTATTCTAATTTGAATTTATAAAATTATAATGGCATGTAAAATGGTTATAAATATCTATCTTCATTGTATTTGCGCATTCGTACATTCGTTCTGTCTCTGTCGCGCCTTTCCGTCATTTTTAGCTGCTTGCTGGCAACACTCACTCCTCTCTTTTATGTCTGTAGTTTTAACATATATCTAGAGTAAGATATAAGTTTTTTATAACGTTCTTTCAGTTTGTTCATACATAACCTACTAGCAATGTAATTAATCTAAGGAAGGGTATTGACAAGGCCTTATATTTGCTCCCAGAATAATGAAAATATGTCATATGATTTAATATTTTCTTTACATATTCTGAATGTCAACTGTGTGCCTGTGCAGGATAGGAGCACTGTAATTTTTTAATATATTGTGTAGTAACATAAAAACTTAAAAATAAAATAAAAGAGAAAGTGCTTCTTATATGCGCTCTGTACAGAAATAGTCGAAATATTACTGAAAATGTCTCATTTTGAACGAAAATTCCAGTTATACCAACGTTTGGCGTCTCACAAGTAATTCTAATTGTAGTTTTTTTTCTTTCATAAATATATTATGTTATCAGACACAGTTTACTTTCAAAATATGTAAAAAAAAAGGACAAATCGTATGAAATAATAGGACCCAGTTATGCAAAAAAACAGCCATGTGCGTAAAAGTACCAAAAGAGTTATAAGCATTTTATTATATAAAATAAAATAATTATAAAAAATAAACAATACTTATATAAATATTGTTCAATTTTAAAATAACCAGAAAAACAAAACATAACCCAAGTGCAACTATCGACAGAAAAATGCTTATAACTCTGTTGGTACTTTTACGCACATGGCTGTTTTTTGCATAACTGGGTCCAATTATTTTATTCGTTGCTCCAGGGCGGAGATGAGGTCTTATCGATACCCTTGCTTTGATAATCATTTTGTAAAATTTTACAATAAAATTAGTAATAAATAAGTAGATAGAAAATAATTACGAAAAGTATATAGTTATTTTTTCATGTAAAATCAAATTCATATTGTCTTAAAATTCATACAAACTGAGAATATCTTACCAAAATAATAGTGTGTTCAACTAAAATAGTTAATTTCGACGCCGCATGTATATTTTTATAATTCAATTTTAGTACTCATTTTTGTATACAATTTTTTTAAGTGGGCTATTATTGTTTTTTGATAGTTTCTAGATTATTTTTTTAGCATTTGAGAAACTGTAGCTGCAAGCGTGTGACGATTTAGATCATTATTGTTTAGATATCATTTTCTTTGAAATAAAAAAGATTTAATTTTTTAATTTTTGTTTTTTTTACCTAGTATTTCCTAACGTTATTAAATATTTATATATTACTAGCATTGCCCGCGGCTCCGCCCGCGTTCAGATGACCAAAACCCTAATTCTTAGGTTTTACGTATTAGTATACTCTTACAATGCAGTTTTTGTGTTTTTATATTTTTTCTCAGAAATGAGATATTTTCCCGTGAAATCTATCCAGTGGTTTTCTCGTGATGCGGTAACAGACAGACAGAAAGACAGACAAAAATTCTAAAAACTATAGATTCGGACTCTGTATCGATAATAATGTCTATTTCAATTAGATTTTCCAAAAAATATTTAATGTACAGATTTGACTTAGAATTTTATTATATGTATAGAAAAAGGTACTTTATCTCTATATATATATGAAGAATTAAAAGTATTCGAGATAATATAAAAGCCTCATATCCTTGGAACCGTTTGTATACGCGCATTATTCTGATAATATCAAATATCTGCTACTTATTTGATTTGTCAAGCAGGGAAACACCACCATGACCAATCTAAATTCAGAAGAACGATTAATTATATACCTATTCGATTCAGTTTTCTTGTTCTTGGCTTCAAAATTGCCAGTTGGGTATAGATTATTTCACCAGTGTCACGTAGCAATTATGTATTTAAGAAATAAGCAGTCCATGTGGTTTCATCAGGAGCAAAGAAAAATAGTTAAAATAAAAGTTAATAGGTGGCGTTATACGTATCTATTTGATATTGATATAAATTGTAAAGTATATAAAAGGTAGAACAACTGAGCTATATTATGCAAAAAGTGATTAAAAAAACTAAGTAAATGCATAAGACACTCGTATAACAAATTTTTGCATTTTTACTGATTAATGATTATAGAATAATCATATATCAGCTAGTGGATTTGTAGTGTACACATATTCACATATGATGGCGTTTATATTTTTTATGAGTTATTTACTTAGGGCCGAACTGACAAACTTAAGGACACTTTTTTTTATTTATGAATTATTCTTACTCATAGAATATTTAACTTAATAATATGTTAGCGGCGACATTGCAAAATTAATGAATAATATTTCAAAAAAAAATACAGAATAGGTCCTTGATGAGAAGGAAATAAATAAAACAACGTAAAAAATTTTTGGTTAATTATATTTACCAGTCATCAATAATGTAAGGGTGATATAATACTAGTCAATGTATATAAAAGCAATAAAAATCCAAATGTAGACAAAAATAAATGCACCTTTGCGCCTATATATGGCAACAGTTACAACGTTCACGCGGTATTGACATATTGCACCCTGCCGCTAAAATAATATTTGAAATTACATATTTGAATGCTTCACTCACAAAAATATTCCTAAAATAAATAGATCTTCGACATCAAAAAATAAATTACAATTTTATTTGGAAAAAAAAACATAGAAAATAAAATGAAATGACTCCTTAAAAATACTAAAAGGGCAAGATGCAGCGTTCAAAGATCAAGGTAAAAGACCAAATATATGTATAAATGCCAAGAGTTCCGTCACTAAAATATATTGTCACACAATATATTGTTACAAAATATAAATCGAAGTTTTAATTTATTATTAAATATAAAAACATTACAAAAATTTTTTAATCCGTTACGATTATTTTTTATTCTACTAAAAGTTTTCTGAATATGCCACTTTTGACTTGAATTTAAAAAATACCTACGACACAAATATCTTAACGAAGCAATACGAGGGAGGTTTCGTTCTCGTCGTATATTATGATTAAGCTTTGGTTAAGTGTTACAGCGACGTCTTCTTCTTTACACTTCACGATATGTTATTTTTATTTAATTCTCTGAATACAGGAAAGAGAACAGTATTGCTAAGTTAAAACGAAAGCAAATATTTGTGTAAGGTAATTTGTATGTCTATGTTACAATTCATAAATCCCTGACGCCGGTGCCGTAGTTGGCGCCGCCCGCCCTGTTCAGGGCGTCTTTAAATTGATCGATATCTATTTCAGCTTGACTTTCCAGTTGGAGCTCCACAGCGAAGTTCTGGAAAAAAAATATATAAATCAAAATATATATTTTTAAATCAAAGTACTAAAATTATGTTATATAGGAATAGAATATTTAATTTTTTGGTAAATGAACTTGACAATAAACCCATTTGCTACATTAGAATAAATTCGTTTAATCACAAAAAGGATGTAGAAAGACCGCAAAATAATATTTTTAGTTCCAACAAAAGCGTGAAACGAAACGTTTCATGCATCTAATGGACCAATCAGAAGCTTTCGAATTAACAGGTCTAAGTTTGACAGTGATTGTCAACTGTGAAATTATGTTCCCGCTTATTTTGTCATCTAAATATAAATAAAACCATATACCACAAACATGGAAGATTTATACACAAAATTACCATGCAGAGAAAATGAATTGAACGACTTATTAAATCTCTTTGGTGATGGCGATGAACCGCTTCCAATTTCCGTATTTATCAGCGGAGGCATGGCTACTGGTAAAACTTTATGTTTAACAACAGTGCTACAACATTTGTCTTACAAACACGTATTTATCGACTGCATCGAATGTTATACACCCAAAATTATGTACGAAGCCATTGTCAGTGGATTTAATGAAAATTTAGCGGATGTAAAATGCGATTCACTGTGGGAACTTATAAATAAATTGAACGCGTTAGGCAACGAACAAACCAGCTACGAGCCGTTCATATTAGTGTTCGATAGAGCCGAGAGACTCCGAAACATGGATCACAGTATTATGTGCACGTTCCTACGACTGCGCGAGTTTTGTAACCTAAACATTTGCACCATATTCGTCACCCATCTAATTTACGATAATTTTTATTTTAAAATGGGCGTTCGAGAACCTATAAAGTTATTTTTCCCTAACTATAACAAAGAGGAGCTGTTTAAAATTATATTTATGCATCAGAAGTCCTTTGTGCGATACTTGACATGTAATCATGACATTGACTGTGATATAAAAGAAGAATTGGAGAAGCCCGAGTTGTTTGCAAACTTTCTTAACGCATTCTTGAGCGTGTTCTACCGACCGTGTCGCGATTTAATTGAATTACAACACATGGCGAGAGTAAATTTCGTGAAATATTGTGAACCGATTGTAAAGAATGAAATCAAATCCACTGATCTCTCTAAATTGTGGCGGCACATTGCACCAATACTGAAAACTAGTTTGGAATTATTATATTTGAGAGTTAACTCGTCTAAACCAATGGTGCCTTCACCCGGTAAGGAAAACACAGATAGGATGGAACTACAGACATATAATTTTGAAAACACTCTCAAAGAAGAATTGTTATCAACCAAAACTTTTGCACAAAGTTTTGAATTACCTTATTATGCAAAATTTTTATTAATCGCTGCTTACTTGGCCAGTTATAACCCACCAAAAGAGGACAAGCGGCTGTTTATGAAAAATCATGGAAAACAGAGAAAACGCTTACAGCAAGTGAAAGCAAAGGCTAAAATAAGTGAAAAACTAAGCACACAGCTAGGTCCAAAAATCTTTACATTAGATAGGCTACTCGCAATATTTTATGCTATTCTAGAGGAAAAAATTGGTTTGACGAGTAACTTATTGGCTCAAATAGCAACTTTGGTTGAACTAAAACTTATTGCGGGGAGTAAAGAAATAGATCTGGATACTTCTAAATACAAGTGCATTGTAGGCTATGACTTTATCTCTGCGGTGGCTCAAACTGTCGGTTTTAATGTTAGAAAATATTTATATGACTTTATTTGATTGTGCTACTTTGGAGAACTGTTATTTATTGTATTTCACATTTGCCTCAGTTTGTAGCGACCCTACGTGCTGTGCCCTTGCAGCCCCTGGGTCGCGGGTTTGAGTCCCGCTGGGGTCATTCATTTGTGTGATGAGCTTGAATGTTTGTACTCCAATTTTGGGTGTTTATATTTATAATATTTATGTATTTAAAGTTATATATGTGTATTGTGTAGTGTATCAACTATCTGGTATCCATAACACAAGCCCCATACAGTCCAGTCAATTAAGATCTGAAATCAAAATTTGGCACTCAACTTTACATTTTTGATATAATGTAGTTTAAAAACAATGTGTAAAGGTTTTCGTGTCTGCAACCCCCGGCAAGGGTTAATTTTTTTTTGTAAAAAATGTTTTTTTGCAATTACTCAAAAATGGTAAAATGGACAAATTTTTTTTAATAAAAATGTGTAGAGCTTAAAATTTTACATAAAAAAAAATATCATGACTTTTTTTCCTCCAGTCAAAATTAAAAAACTACATTATATCAAAAATGCAAAGTTGAGGTTCAAATTTTGATTTCAGACCTTATTTGACTGGATTGGTAGCTTACCATGGAACTAGATGGTGCTGTGTGTTAGTGCCCCAACATATTTATTGTATGATTAAAGGTGTGTATTTACAACACAAAGTATATTATTTATTTGTTTTAATAAATAATATCAATTAACATAAATTATGCCATTGAATTATTATTTTTTTAAAACAATCTATACATATAATAAAATTGTAACAAAGCCGAATCTGTACATTAAATATTTTTCGGAAAATCTTATTGAAATAAACATTAGTATTGATGCAGAGGCCGAATCTATAGTTCTTAGAATTTTTGTCTGTCCGTTACCACATCACAAAAAAACCACTGGAAGGATTTTGATGAAATTTGGTATGGTGATAGCTGGTTATCCAGGTCAACATATAGGATACTTTTTACCGCGGAAAAATGTCTCATTTCTGAGAAAAAAATACAAAAACTGCAATGCAAGAATTTACTAAATTATGTAAAACCTAAGAATTTGGTTTTTGGTCATCTGAACGCGGGCAGAGCCGCGAGCAATGCTAGTCTGTAATAAATACAAAATGTAACTTCGTATTATTAGATATAAGTAAATCTGATAAAATTAAAAAAAAAGGTAAATAAGTATTTCCACAAAAATTATGTTATTTTTACCAGAAACAGATAAGAGAAGCCAATTAGTTAACAATTTAATACTAAAAGGAAAAAAATATTAAAAAATTATGAGTAAATAACACTCATTTGAAGGGATAAGATAAGATAGAGTCCCACTTAAAAACAATATCAGCGGCAGTCAATGACCAACATCAAAGGGCAACTGAAAGGCTTGTTTACGATCTGATAAAGTGAATCGCTGTATGTGTAATGGATGTATGAAAATGAAATAACATAATAATAAAGATAATATCAATAAAATAATATAAATTTGGTTTTAAGACGCCATATTGTATCTAGGTAGGTAAATAAAGTAATATTTTTTATTGCTTTAAAAAGACGTCTTGTTTCTAAATCTAAAAAGACGAATCGTACAATATACTTACGACGACGTTTATAACAGAAACATGAAGCATTTCGTCGTCTTAGTGGTTATTTGATCAAACGACCCAACTTTACTGTAAGTACAATTTCTATTTCTATATTAAATACTAGCGACTCGCCTCGCTTCGCTCGGGTTCGTCCCTAGCTTGATTCCCAATACAAATTTTCATCCCCATTTTCAGCTCCTTATGATTTCCGGGATAAAAAGTACCCTATGTCTTTCCCAGGGTCTCGAACTATCTTTTTACCAAATTTCATCTAAATCGGTTCAGTAGATCCAGAGATTACCCCCTACAACGTCACAAACTCACAAACTTTACCTCTTTGTAATATTATTATAAACAAAGCATCATTTCCAAGATTTATATACATACATAAATAAAATACATTCTTTGGCTTTATTAAAATAAAATATGTATTTAATATCACTAGAATTGACATTTATAAGTATGTATTAAAAAAATGATCGGTAAATTGGTCGTTTGTACAAATCAGTAGTGAGGCGACCATTTGTATGTACTTCAGTACATCCACATGCCACATATCACCTGGTCGAGGCCAGGACAGGACAGGACACACTAGAGGTTCGCCAGCAATACTTACGGAGATGATGTCCTTGATGATGGCCTTGTCGGTGGACATCTTGGCGCGGTTGATGACGGACACATTGGGCCCCACCCACGTCACGAACAGGAACTTCCGGCGCTTCGACATCTCATCGCCCATCTGCACCCTAACGAGGGACAGGCATTATAAACTAAACTTCGAGTTTGTTTGTTAGGGCTAATCGCAGAAACTGTCGTACGAATTTTGTAATATGGTTCATTTTATTTTTTAATTATTCTAGTAGCTGAAATTCTGATTGCGGGCAAAACTAGAAGTGTTTTTGATATGTAAACAACACTTACAAAGCGGGCAAAGACATACACAGTAGATATTACCTAAATACACATTTTAATCAGAACTTTATCTCTTCTCCCTGCCCATTTCCCTCTCACTTGGGGTCGGCGCAGTACATCTTCTGTAGGTACTGCTGATAAGATTTGGCAAAAGTTTTACGACCGGCCGCCTGCCTGACGTCAACCCTCCTTGGGAATGCTATTGTGTCTCTTTGTCTGAATGGTGTCGCGGAAGTCTTGTAATTATTATGCACTTTCGAATTTGTTGTCTTTAAAACTTATTACTTAAATTTTAAACGTTATTTTTCGGATATTAAAATAAATGTTGATTACACCATAAATTTTGTTTAATCAGAACTTTATCTACTGACTATAAAAAGAATCTAATGATTGAATAGAGTTCGAGTCCGAACTTTTAGTTTTTCTCCCGATACTTTAAAGAATATAGTCCTTCACTATATTCCTTACCGGACTGTTAAGAGTAAAAGTGATAGAAAACATATATTTGTGCGTATGTATGCGCATGCCTGCACGTGCACGCTACATTATGTTCTACACAGATGCTAGTGTCAAGAATCAAGATTCGCTGGCCATTGACTAAAATTGGTCATAAAGACTTCAGTAGTAAATTATAATTTATAACAAACCTGAGGTAACCAAATGCACGGTCATCATCGGAGAACTGTGTTCGGAACTCTGTGAAGTCGCTGCCGCGCGCCGAGCACACGATGCGCGCGCCCTCGAACTTGAACACCGCCCTGTTCAACATTCATTCAAATTAAAACTACATATAATCCTGAATCCTATCAAGCTACTATTACAAAGTAGACTTACCCTTGCTTCGCTCGGGTTCGTCCCTAGGTGCTTAACATAAAGCTATATGTTACTCTAGGTCATTAGTTTATATCTATGCAAATAAATAAAATTGTAGTGTCTGTTTGCAATGTTAAAATGACAGCTTTTTACTAAATGCATATGAAAGTATATACGGTAGGTACTAATAAGAAAAAAACAATTTTTAAATTTTTTGTCTGTCTGTTTGTTCCGGCTAATATCTGAAACGGCTGGACTGATTTTGACGGGACTTTCACTGGCAGATAGTTGATGTTATAAGGAGTAACTTAGGCTACTTTTATTTTAGAAAAAGAATCAGGGTTTCGCACAAAAAAAATAAAATCCATGAGATTGTAAACAAAATCAGAGTACCTAGGGACGCACTCGAGCGAAGCTAGGGTAAATCGCTTGTGAGTTGTGTGCACTAAACACACAAATCCGTCCAGTCCTTTGAGCGTATAAGAGAAACAAACAAACATAATACGAGTGTTTGTGTGTGTGTGTTTGTTACTTTTTAACGCCGAAATGACTGGACAAATTTATATTAAAATTGGTACAGTGCAATGACCCGGATAAAGGTCATACAATAATATGTAATATTATTATAATAATAATGATTATAATTATATTATATCTATACTTATTATAAAAATAAGTCCCCCGGCCGCGTCTTTCTGTCCTCCTGTCTGTCTGTACGCGATAAACTCGAAAACTACTGAACGGATTTTTATACGGTTTTCAACAATAGAAAGAGTAATTCTTGAGGAAGGTTTAGGTATATAATTTATTATGCTTTTATGTAAATTAGCTGAAATACGGCGACAAATGTTGAAGAGGTCGCAAAAAATCTCGCCAAATGGGAACTTTCCACGCGAACGCCGCGTAAACTAGCAAAGATACAGTTAAGTAATGTACTAGAGAATTCAAAATCTATAAAAATGCTACAAAAAAGTCCGCGATAGCATATCTCTATCTCTTACGGTTGACTTACAATAACCACTTTTATGTTAACATTTTTAATTAAAAACATTACGTTATTTTCAAAGTTATTTTCTTTAGTTCGGTATTAATCCTTATCCAAATGAATATTTTAGTTAGCTTAGTCATTTAATGCAGATTAAAATTGCTCTTTACACTAAATCAATCAGATGAATAGTTTTTGAGATATCGTTGTTAGAAGTAATTAGTAGCGAAACATTTTTAATGCTTGGCGAGCATTGAGATGCCTACGGCGAGTCCATCCCCTCTGCCCCGCATCGCTCGACCGCCTGCTCAAGCTATATAAACCGGGCGATGTAGCGCGCGATCCTAGGATACTTTTTACCGCGGGAAAATATCTTATTTCTGAGGAAAAATACAAAAACTGCAATGTAAGAGTATACTAATATGTAACACCTAAGAATTTAGTTTTTGGTCATCTGAACGCGGGCGGAGCCGCGGGCAATGCTAGTGTAGTATAAAAGGCAAGGACCTCGTTAGTTAAATTACAGAAAATTGTATTCAGCACTTTTTAACGGTCCACTGCTGGGAGTGAGCCTCCCTTCAATACGAGGGGGATCAGGCTATAGCCTATAGAAAACAAAAGCCACAAGGAAACCAATAACGCTTTTGATGAGATCCTATTGGAGTTTTTCAATAGGGTAGTCCATCACGCTAGCCAAGTGTGGGTCGGAGGAGGTATAGAAAATAAAATGTTAAATGTGTCTGTCACATGGCACCAAATTTCCTTACAATATTTTAACTTTAAACATTTTTATATAATTTAAAATAAAACAATTATATAAAAATGTTTAAAGTTAATACTAAAATATTATAACCTAAATTATTATCTATACATATAATAAGTTTGTAACTAAGTCGATTCTGTACATTAAATATTTTTTGGAAAATCTAATTGAAATACACATTATTATCTACTTTAGACTCATATTATAGTCGTGACATTTTGTATGGGGAAAGCATATCATGTCCAACTTATTTTACCTAGATTAAAAAAAGCACCATAGGTATTTTTGCTCATGAATTATACGTCTAATATTTTCTTTTTCACCGACTTCAAAAATGGAAGTACTAGCCAATTGTGAAAACGTTTTTCATTTTTTTTCAATAAATAAATGATAACTTGACCCCTTTTATTATTTCAACAACAAAAAATATCAACCTAAGGGTAGAATAATTACATTTTAAGCGTCTTTAAAGTCGACGGGCCGTTTGATAGATTGATATCCGGCAAACTGGCGTTCGAAGGAGAAAATCCATTTAGCGCAGGCTAAGTTCAGGAGATTAGCGGATGTAGACCGATAGATATTTTCTTAATACATACCTAGTTGCTTAGATTTTGGTAATATTTAAATAATTACAGTGTTCAATATTAGGTATCTTATAATAATAAACACGACACGTTTGTAGGGACCCTACTTGCTGTGCCAGCTGTCGCGGGTTCGAGTCCCGCTGCGGGCAGTCATTTGTGTGATGAGCACGAATGTTTGTAATCCAGTCACGGGTGTTTATATTTATAACCTGTATTTATTTAATGTTATATACGTGTAGTGTATCTACTATCTGGTATCCATAACACAAGCCTCGTAGCTTACCACGGAACTAGATGGTGCTGTGTATTAATATCCCAACATATTTATATATTTTATATTAATAAAGTTATAAACATCCTTTTTGACAAGTACAGATAAAAAATGTAATTTTAGCACAAATGAAGGCTAAAAACGAATGTTAGAGGTAAAAACTCAGCAATTTCGCATTTCTAACACGTTGTTGTTTCATTAGCAGAGTCTAGACTAGAAGTTCTTTTGATCGGAATGGAACAAAAAAGCATTGGTAGTGATGAGACGACGTAGTTTACGGCATCAATACGGTAACGAACGTCTCAAAGAAAGTCGTTACACTAAGAACTGCAACGTTTCGTTGGAAGAAAAACGTGCATTTATTGTTAGATGGAGACATCAAAATTGCAGAAATATATAATATGTAGGTATAGATAGGTATAATTGTTTTAGATAAAACTAAACTAAAAAAGAATGTAACAATTTAGTGCTGAATAAAATATTTTGAATTTGTCTTATACTTTCTTAGATTTACGCGAATATTTGACATTTATACTAATTACTAATATTATAAAGAGGTAAAGTTTGTGAGTTTGTGACGTTATAGGGGGTAATCTCTGAATCTACTGAACCGATTGAGATGAAATTTGGTAAGAAGATAGTTTGTGACCCTAGGAAGTACATAGGATACTTTTTATCCCGGAAATCATCCCTTAAGGGAGAGAAAATGGGGACGAAAGTTTGTATGGAGAATCAAGTAAATCAGAGGGTGAGTCGCTAGTTCTAAATAAAACTATCTTTTCGGTTTTTTTCGCGGATTTATTTTGATTTTTGGTTCCCAACGTTTCGGATGCTTTACAGCGAGTTTCATTTAAAATGTCAAATATTCGCGTAAATCTAAGAAAGTTTATTATAAATATTTATATTATAGGTATTTATTGTTGTAAACAAGAAGAATTGGCCTTTGTATGGGAAGATATGATGTTAAAATTAGACATCAAGTCAAATGTGAGTTAGATTAATTCGTCTGTCGTAACAGTATGGAATTTTTTTGTTGCTTTAAGTAACTAATTATAATAGAGTCTTTAATTGTTTTTATAATTTACTAGCATTGCCCGCGACTCCGCCTGCGTTCAGATGACCAAAAACCAAATTTTTAGGTTTTACATATTAGTATACTCTTACATTGCAGTTTTTGTTCTTCTCAGAAATGAGATATTTTCCCCCGGTACAAAGTATCCTATATGCTGACCCGGATAACCAGCTACCATCATACCAAATTTCATCAAAATCCCTCCAGTGGGTTTTCCGTGATGCGGTAACAGACAGACAAAAATTCTAAAAACTATAGATTCGGCATCTGTATCGATAATAATGTCTATTTCAATAAGATTTTCCAAAAAATATTTAATGTAAAGATTCGACTTAGTTACAATTTTATTATATGTATAGATAGTGCTGTCAATTTTTAAATGCTCCGTGTAACTGTTTATGTATGTCGTGGTTACCTACATATAAGTAAGATAACAATTGGATTTTGACCACCTCTGTAATTCAAGTCAATTGTGTATTTTTGTTAAATTACTGTAAAACATATTGGTAATAATAATTAAATACTTAAATAAATGAAAAAATAAATATGTGATAGGTATAATATATTTTTAGTGTTTCTGATAGTTTGAGTTGAGTTGAGATGGTCAGTTATGATACTCGTAATTCACGTAATAGTATATCAATATGATTAAGGTACATAACACATATAATCAAGATATATATCCAAACTAATCTATATTAATATTATAAAGTGGCAGAGTTTATTTGAATGCGCTTATCTCAGGAACTACAAATCCGATTTGAAAAATTCTTTTTGCATCAGATAGCCCGTTTATTGAGGAAGGCTATAATCTATACATAATATAATAAAATTGTAACGAAGCCGAATCTGTACATTAAATATTTTTTGGAAAATCTTATTGAAATAAACATTACTATCAATACAGAGGCCGATTCTATAGTTTTTAGATTTTTTTGTCTGTCTGTCTGTTACCGCATCACAGAAAAACCACTGGACAGATTTTGATGAAATTTGGTATGGTGATAGCTGGTTATCCGGGTCAACATATAGGATACGTTTTACTGCGGGAAAATGTCTCATTTCTGAGAAAAAAATACAAAAACTGCAATATCAGAGTATACTAATATGTAAAACCTAAGAATTTGGTTTTTGGTCATCGAACGCGGGCGGAGCCGCGGGCAATGCTAGTAGGTAGGCTATATATCGTCCCGAAAAATATACGATTCCCATGGGATACACAGTAGATTTGTTTTTGTCTAGCGACTAAAGCGAAGCGAGGGTGAGTCACCAGTACATATTATTAATGCGAAATTAGATTTTTTTTTGTATGTTCGGTATCGATAAAAAAATGAGTTTCTAAGAAAAATAATGCAAGAGATGCCTGCAAAATTCACTAAGTTCTTTTTTCTATAGGATTTACGTATAAACTCTAAAATTGCAAGCAAATTTATTGAAATTTGGACATGACAATGTCTGTCAGGCTAGCTGTGTATTCATATTGATTGATGATGACGAAGATGCAGTTAGATTCTATTCCAAATGCTTTGTTCATGATATAGGTAAGTCTAACATGTACCTAAAAAGGAAAGAAATAACTTTCGCTTAAGCAAATAACAGTGATAGTCCAGTGGTAACCCGCTCGCTTGGGAAACCGAGTGAAGCGGGTTCAAATCCCGGTTCTTGGACCTTTGATAACATTTTCATGTGCAAATTTCCAACATATTCACCACTTGCCTTACGGTGAAGGAAAATATTGTAAGGAAACCTGCATGCCTGAGAGAATCTAGCAATTTTTGAGAGACATGTGAAATCCACCACTTGGCACACTTGGCGTGGTGAACTATAGCTTGATCCCCCTCGTACTGAAGGGAGGCCCCGTGCCCAGCAGTGGGACGTTAAAATGGGCTGAATACTTAAGCAAATAATAATTGAGACCCTTCTGTAAGATGTGTGCTCGATAGAAATTGTCGTCTTACAATTAATCAGGTCGATCAATACAAATACCTAGTCTCTAATAAACTGGTTTACAAAATATTCAAGATGTAAAATTATTTCGCTATTGCAAAACCTAACATCAAGATATCACAATTTAATCATTTTCAACGTGAAGGATTGTTTATCATACAATTTATAAGTGGATATTTGAACTTTTTTTTTATATTTTTGACGACACGTTTGACTCAGTTTGTAGTGTCAACATTTCCTACTTACTGTACCAACGGTTGCGGGTTCTAGTCCGCTGGGGGCATTCATTTGTGTTATGAGCACGAATGTTTGTACTCCAGTCATGGATATTTATATGTATTTATAATATGTATATATTTAGTGTATCAACTGGTATCCATTAGTCATAACACAAGCCTCGTAACTTACCATGGAACTAGATGGTGCTGTGTGTTAATGTCCTAACATATTTATTTATTTATTATATTTGTTTTAAAAAAAACTTTTTAGAACTTATAAACAAACTACGGACTTACCCTAGCGTCACTCGAGTGAGTCCATTATAATAATACTAACAGAAGCCTGTATGGTACCTACTCCAGGTACAGGAAACTAGTATATTATCTGTGTACTAAATGTTGTCCAAAACCGTCCAGCCTTTTCAGCGTTACAAAGAAACAAACATACATACAAGCATACATACAAACTTACTTTTTAAATATAATACTAATGCAATCGAATTAAATGTTTAAAAAAAATGTATATCTACATATATACAGATAAATAAAATTGAAGTGTCTATTTGTAATGTCAAAATAACAGCTTTTTACTAAATGCATATGGAATTATATACGGTTATTAAAAGAAAAACACAATTTTTAAATTTATTTGTCTGTCAGTTTATTCCACTAATCTCCAAAACGGCTGGGCTAATTTTGACGGGACTTTCACTGGTAGGTAGTTGATGTTATAAGGAGTAACTTAGGCTACTTTTATTTCATTAAAAGAATTAGGGTTCCGCTCAAAAAAATTAAAATGTACCTCGCTTGTATTAAATAGATAATTAGATTTTAGAGAATTTGGATTTGGACGTATTCAAAATGCTCTGTCGAACTTCAGTCGAACGCCAAACAAAAACCCTTTTATAATAATTGGTCTCTACGCGGATGTGCGGCTGTCGGGACTACGAGTAGACTCGGTTCTTCAAATAGATAGCGGATTTGTTTAGTGTTTTTGTTGTATTTTCTTTTTCTTTATGAATATACTGATGTAAGCAATTGATGTAGTATATGAGGAGATAGGCATTTAGTAGAAGTTCATGGTAATCCTACTAATAAGTAATATTATAAATGTCTAGATTTATAGATGTATGGATGTTTGTTACGCTTTCACGCAAAAACTACTAAATGTATTTTAATGAAACTTTACAATAATATAGCTCATAGGTACATCAGAATAACACATAAGCTACTTTTTATCCCGGAAAAATGTATGGTTCCCGTGTGATAGATTTGCTTTTTATTTCTTTTTAATTCATATGAAACTATAAAAAGTCATAGTACCTACTATATACATAAATAGGTATATACATTCGAAAAGTAAGTGCATTTTATATAGATATATGTACGCTCAGTGCTCACTAAATATAGCTAGATTTTACTTTTATTGTTACTAGATTTTTTTTGATGTCTCACCTCTAACGGTTATATAAAATTGAGATAATTACAAATGATGTCAAATGCCTATCTCTAAAATGACAGATAGAAAAGTTACTGGGATCCCCCGTAAGAAGAACTGGTTGGAAAGAAACTCAGCGGGACGATAAATCTTATTAATTATTACATTTATTATTTTCCTGAACAATCTATGTAACATATGATAAAATTTTAACCGAGTCGAATCTGTACAATAAATATTTTTTGGAAAATCTTAATGAAATAGTAATTATTGTCGATATAGAGGCCGAATCTATAGTTTTTAGAATTTCTGTGTGTGTCTGGGAACGCATTACGAGAAAACCACTGGACAGATTTTGATGAAATCTGGTATGATGATAGCTGGTTATCCGGGTCAACATATAGGATACTTTTTACTGCGGGAAAATATCTCATTTCTAAGAAATCTACACTAATCGTTAAAACATATCTAGCGATGAACCCGAGAGGAGCCAGGGAGAATCGCTAGTTACAATAAAATGTTTCATTTAAAAAAATTTTTTTTATCGAAACTTACCATTCCGTAGGCGTAGTGTCGGCTCTCACGTCTTCATATGCAGCGCGTATCGTGTCGCGGTCCAGCCCGGTTGTCATGGTAACCTACACAAAATAATAACTATAATGAACAAAAAAATATTTACTATACAAAATATTAAAATTTTAATTAAGCTGGACTTGATCTTAATCGCCCTACTACTACGCGCTTAAAATCTGCTTTAGGCTAAATTATTTTTTTTCTTCTACACTATCTTGCTTTATAATTATTAAAGAAAAAAATTAATCTGTAATAAAAAATAATTGATAGCTATTATTTACAAATATTTTTTTATTTTAATAAGTGGGTACTTATAAAAACATTTTATCATGGCGATTCTAGAAATCTATACATATAATAAAATTGTAACTAAGCCGAATCTGCACATTAAATATTTTTTGGAAAATCTTATTAAAATAAACATTATTATCGATATAGAGGTCGAATCTATAGTGTTTAGAATCCTTGTCAGTCTGTCCGTTACCGCATCACAGAAAAACTACCGCAGGGATTTTGATGAAATTTGGCATGGTGATAGCTGGTTATCCGGGTCAACATATAGGATACTTTTTACTGCGGGAAAATGTCTCATTTCTGAGAAAAAAATACAAAAACTGCTATGTAAGAGTATACTAAGTAATATGTAAAACCTAAGATTTTTTTTTGTCATCTGAACGCGGGCGGAGCCGCGGGCAATGCTAGTAGTTTATAAGTTAACATTGATTAGCTATTGTTAAAATAAACTCAAACGGACCTTAAGCGCTAGTAAAAGAATATTTTCAATTATAGCAACACCTTTGAAATTATTTCAAGAAATATCTACCCGTATCCATCTCAGAAGCGTGGAAACGAAAGCATTTTAAAATCGTCTCATAATTATTCCTTGCTTAATAAGGTAACGAGCACACACTTCTTAACGTTCTTAATAACTTACAATGTTACCATAATTATATGGTATCACACGATCGTGTTTCGTTTGCATCGACTTGTACGGACACGGCTGTCGCTTACAATAAAACTTTTTTTTTTAAATATAATATGTAAAATCTTATAAGAAAATAGCTGGTGAATAGCAAAGGATAAATAATTGACAGACACATTAAATATGTGTTCGTTCGTGACACATCCCTATTACCAAAACTAAAAATTACAATAATTCATTATTGTTATAGTAGGAACGGTACGATTTCGTCCCTAGCTTGCATCCCAATACAGACTTTCATCCCCATTTTTACTCCCTTAAGGGATAATTTCTGGGATAAAAAGTAACCTATGTCTGTTTCAGGGTCTTAAACTATCTTCTTACCAAATTTCATTAAATCGGTTCAGTAGATCCAGAGATTACCCCATACAACTTCACAAACTCACAAATTCACAAACCCACGAACTTTACCTCTTTATAATATTAGTATAGATACAAGCATATTGAACACGTGTGAACAACTATGAATGTAGACAAGACAAATGGTGACAATAAAAAAAAGACGATTAAAGAGATATAAAGAACAAAAACCGCCATTTCTCGATATAAGCGCCTAATTTGGTGTAGTTTTTGCTCCAATACTTCAATAGAAAACATGTGTAGCCACTGAGCTGTCACATTCTTAGCGCGCCGTGCGATGTGCGCCGATGTATCGACATCGATCCATTTTTATATCGCAGATAGAAGAATTCAAAATTGTAATCGATTTTCATCGATCGACATTCGCAGAAAATAAGATTAAGCCCGTTTAAGGTTTACATTAAATCTATATTAGTAACAGAAGTTACTTTTTAAGTAGTAGTGACATTTAAGGTCATTTATTGAAAAAAAAAATCACACAAATCAAAATCACAAAAATAGCTAAAGATTTCATCCCGCGTGTCAGAACTCTGTTTGTAAAACGAATGCAGCTAATTTCATCATGTCTCTTTCAGCTAACTTCATCATGTCGCATTTTGGCTGTCGGTGTGCGCGCGCATCGTTAAAAATTTTACTCTCATATTTTTTTTAAAAACGTGCCAAAAGAAGTATAACTTCAAAAATTGATTGAGTACTACCTTTTTGAAACCGGTAATAAATAATATGATACGTTAATTGTTTTTTACATTATATTTCGTATTTATTTTTTACGCATTTATATTTTTCACTTAATTTTTTGCGCTTGCAAGTAAGACAACAAGAGTTGCTCTGTACAGATAAAAAAAACTCGCAATTTTTTTTTCTAAGCAAATAACTAGCGCTACGTATCCATTGGACAGCCAACTTAATCTCTGCATTGCTGCATAACGTCCCCTTTCACTCGCAGTAAAAAGCGTAATTTTTCGTAATTAGCGACTCTTGTTAATAGCAGACTCGGACATTTAAAAGTTAACTAATCTATTGTAAATTATAAAAATAGAGTAAGTAATTTTGCCTATCGTATCTCTTTTTTGCTTTATTTTCATAGTCATTGTAATAATAAATTCTATATTCTATTCTATATGTAATAATAAATTTAATAATAAAAGAGCTATTTATCTATACATATAATATAATTGTAACTAAGCCGGATCTGTACATTAGATATTTTTTGGAAAATCTTATTGAAATAAACATTATTATCGATACAGAGGCCGAATGTATAGTTTTTAGAATTGTTGTCTGTCTGTCTGTTTGTTACCGCATCACAGAAAAATCACTGGAGGGATTTTTATGAAATTTGATATGGTGATAGCTGGTTATCCGGGTCAACATATAGGATACTTTTTAACGCGGAAAAATATCTCATTTTTTAAAGAAAAAATACAAAAACTGCAATGTAAAAGTATACTAATATGTAAAACCTAAGAATTTGGTTTTTGATCATCTGAACACGGGCGGAGCCGCGGGCAATGCTAGTATGTAAATATATTTCGTGTATTTCGGAAACGGCTAACGATTTGTACGACGCACAACGAAATAAGTACCATAATAAATACCACTCCCATGACAATATAACAACATATTACCGTGTCGTTATTTTTCAACCAACTTCAAAAAGGAGGAGGTTCTCAATTCGACTGTATGTTTTTTTTTTTTTTTTATGTTTGTTACCTCAGAACTTCGTCATTTATTAACCGATTTGGACAATTTTTGTTTTGTTTGAAAGGGTATACTTCCAGATTGGTCCCATTTAAATTTCAAAAAAAAATACCACCCCTAAGGGTGGAAAAACAACTAATGATGAATTTAACCTACTTCTAATTGTCATATTGACTTGAAACTTTGCAAGTATTTCTATTTTCGTTGATAGTACAGTGGTTCGGTGTTGTTGACCTGATCTGATGGCAAGGCCAGAAGGTGGATAGGTGGAACTCTTCAACGGCTAATAGTAGATACTTTGAGTTTGGGCTTATTTTGTTTAATTTGACAAGCCTAACACGTTAGAATCCTTACTTTGCTACTACTGTCTACACTAAAAAGGGAAAAATAAAAACTTTTTAACAAAAAAATAAAAACCGACTTCAAAAAAAGCACTAAAAAGAAAAAAATAACTGATTGGTAGTTTTCATTTACTATACATACCTAATCAAATATTTTCGAAGTCGGTGTGCTTTGGCTAAGTACTTAAAGCCTACGTATTAAATACATACCTAATCAAATATTTTCGAAATCGGTGCCAGCCCATACAAAGCAAAGCACACCGACTTCGAAAATATTTGATTAGGTATGTATAGTAAATGAAAACTACCAATCAGTTATTTTTTACTTTTTAGTGCTTTTTTTGAAGTCGGTTTTTATTTTTTGTTAAAAAGTTTTTATTAATTAGTTCAAACCATGCTCTGCATGATAAAAAAGGAAAGTATATAATATTCCAATATTAAGGATAGTATATAACTTCATTCATATTTCTATTCCTTGGTCTACGTTGAGATATAAGCTTTATAGTCGACTAGCGACTCACCCTCGCTTTGCTTGGGGTTTTCCCTAGCTTGATTCCCTATACAAACTTTCATCCCCATTTTCACCCCCTTAAGGGATTATTTCTGGAATCAAAATTATCCTACATCCTTCCCAGGGGTTTAAACTATCTTCTTACCAAATTTCATCCAAATCGGTTCAGTAGATCCAGAAATTACCCCCTACAACGTCACAAACTCACAAACATTACCTCTTTATAATATTAGTATAGAAGTATAGATGATAAAGTATATGGTAAGCAAAACAGCTTATGGGGTTCTTAGTTTTGGCTGATAGCAAATTCGTGTTTTCTAAAATCCTATATTTTTTGTTTTCATAAAATTATAATTAAATATTTCTACTTGTACTTTCTTTTAAAAAAATCACACTTTTTTTATCACTAAATACAATTATTTTGTATAAAATACTGTCATAAAGGAGATAGCATTTACACTGCTCTATATTGAATTTGTCATCTTTTGTCATATCTAATTTTAAGCTATGTAATCGTTAATGACTCAAAACTTCCTTTCCAAAAATAATATAATCGAATATTTCAATAGAAAGACGAAGATAAAATATATTACAGTTATTTATAATCATGACTATCCCAGCAATATATGATTAAGACACGTATTCCCGGAAACCAAGGCCGGCGGAACTATTAAAATTAAATATTTTCGTCAATCGCCAGCAATGTGTCTAGAAATAGTTCTAAAAAGGACATTTTACTTTTAGAATAGCTAATGAAACTTTTTTTGAAGTTATACTACTATTGGGATGTTTAAAAAAAATATATGAAAATAAAATTTTTACGATGCGCGCGCACACCGACAGCCCAAAAGCAAACTGATGAAGTTAGCTGATAACTATTGGTTGCCATGGTTGTTGTTGTTATTGTCTGACAAATGATTTATATAATATTATAATGATATTCTTTTTTAAAATATGATTGTAATAGGTATGCCTCATATGCCTTATTTATTTCATTAATATATCATTCCTTTTACAAACACAGGCTTTTTGTTCTGTTACGCCAAAGAAGTATAACTTCTTACGTGCCTACATAAGTACAAACACACATTTTTTTTTATTTTTTTATGAGTATGATGATGTTCTCCTGACCGATTCCGGCCACGGCGGCCAATCTCATTGAGACTAGCCAACTGCGCAGGAGATATTATTATAGTGCACAAGTGTACGCGCAGACACAACGTGTACTCTCTATTCTTGTCACTCTCATACTCCGGTGGGACGTTTATGAGTATAATTATAATATAACAAGCCTAGTCATTTTCTAGAGTCAAATTAGATATAAAAAAACTTAATTCAAATAAATTTCAATAGATGGCGTTAATGGTTATTGTGTTAAAGTTCACGACAAGTCACCCTGAGTAAAAAATAAAAAAGAAATAAGAATCAATACGTTTATTAATTACATTTTCGTAATTATACTAATTACTAATGATTGAAAAAAGTATTTAAAGCTAATAGATATTAAGTTAGTACTGAGTATTAATAGATGGCGCTATTTTCCGTCTATAAGAGTTTTGCAAACTTAGTTTAATTTTTTTAATTTAGCTTTTGCTATACTTTACACGTGTTAGTGCGCTTCTTTTTACATAATAAAATATATAGACCGTTATCCGAACAACGTCATCTATCTATGTGACTACTGACTGACTGACTTTACTGAATATTGTCCAACTTTAATACGGATTTAAAATTTCCGTTAATTAAATAATTTAATAATTACAATTTATTAAGTAATCTTCACAATGAAACCTACTGAGAGATACATAGTATTAATACTCACTTTTATTGATCCTAATACTTATGAATAAAAAGTTATGGTGACATTTGCAATTAATTTAAATTGTTTAAAATTACCTTAGATGAGCAAGAAAATCCAGAATGACACGAATCAATGTCTTGAACATCGTCACTACGCGCGGACTCTTCATCTTTTCCTTCTTTCACAATCGCAAAAAGCTCATCTACTTTACCCTTTAACAACTTAAAATCTGTATTAATTTTCCGCCTGTCTATCATTAATTCATCGAAACACGTAATTTTATCCGAAAACAGATTTAAAATTCTTCTTAATTCGTCGACATTTTTACTCAAAACGTCAAATTTTGTTATAATACTGTTCTGGCTGATAGACAATTTGTCGATATGGTCCTGTAGGCGTCTGTACGTGTTCTCAATTTGGTCGGTTTGATCCGCCATTTCGTTTTTAATATTTATATTTTATACATTATTTGCATTTATTTGATTTCATAAAAACTATGTTCAGTAATAATTATACAAGACGTTTGACAGTTTGTTTTTTTTTAATTTAGTTTTCAGTCAGCCAGCTTTATTTATGTAGATAATGAAATAAGAGAAAAATTCCAGTTATTTATTAATAAATAAATAAATTATAAAGCAGTAGATACTTACTAAATATATTATGTTTATGTCAGAGTGCTTCTAAAAACCCTGAAATGGACCATAACCCTTGGCATTCATGATTCAATGTTATGTTTTCAGACCAAGTCATCTAACCTTATCATTCATCGTTCACCATAAAATATTTTAGTGGCAATAATATAGCACAAGCCAGTAGAGCTATCGAGACGGAATTTTGATATAATAACAAAGATCGATTCGATTACCATCTTTGCAAACTTTTTAATAACCCGTTTAGTTATTTTCAGTTCATTTTTTTTTAAGTTTATATTTTAGTTAATTTTTAGTGTAGATGTAATAAGTAGGTAATTTGTAAGAAGAGACTTTTTTAATAACATATTCGTTTAAGCAATTTATTTAAAAATAATAATTTATTGTTGATTTTTTTAAAAACCGCTCGACCGATTTCGATATAATTTATATAGGACCACCTGGGAAGTATACCCTTTCAAACAAAACAAAAAAATTCCTAATCGGTTCAGGCGTCTTCGAGTAATCGGTGAACATACATTTAAAAACGATTCCGACGAATTGAGAACCTCCTCCTTTTTGGAAGTCGGTTATAAAAATATACAAATAACAAAATATAAAAATAAATTCATCATCCTAATTCAAATACTTTGATAAAGAACTTGTTGACAAGTAGCTGTGCTTGCAACGTTTTAATAAAGCTTCGTTATTCATTTAATCATGAATCATAGACTGCGGTTGATAGATGACTTCGTATTTTATTATGTTATGGAACTTACAAAATATATTAAATTGAATACCGAAATAACAAATTTGAATAAAAATCAAAAGAAATCAATTAAATAACCGTTTTTATTTGGGTTCTGTATCCAACAAACAGATATAGAGAGAGCTTTATAATTGACTGTTCATATTATGACACGGCTATTTTACTTGAAATATTTTATTATTAACTAGCGCTACCCTTTTTTATTTATTTTTTCTAAAATAAAATTAGCCTAAGTTACTCTTTATAACATCAACTTATAGCTAACTTATAGCTTTCCTCGTCCGGCTTAATTGCCGTGTAGACGTGTACTCAATATTGTTGCTTATTTGTGTTTAATAAAAGTGCGAGCAATCAAATATCAATCTTAAAGCATAGTAATAAAATCCATTTTTATATAACTCTGTTATAATCTAAGATAAGACCACTAGCGATTCATTGCGTCTACGCATCATTAGTGTACAGTATAGGCAAAATAGTGAGATGCTACGATCTCCAACAAACAAAGATGGTAAATATTCTTCTCAACCTGACTTGGCGAGCACCAATAAAACCGACTCGGAGTCATCGTCGAGTTTTGTTGCAGTTCGGAAACGTAAAGAACGGAGCGAATTTGAGGAATTGCGAGAGGAAATACAAATTTTAATAACAACAATAAAAACAGGTCAAGAAGCAAAGTTTGAAAAAATCTTTAAAAGTATTGAGGAACTAAAGTTACAGAATAATACTTTAAAAATTCAAAATGAGAAAATTTTAAGTTCTAATGAAATAATAGAGAAGAAATTAATGCAAACGACTGAACTATACAATGATGTAAAAAAAACGATGGCTATCCTTCAAGATGATCATAATAAGGCAATCAATAAAATTACAGCTCTAGAAGAAGAAGTAGAAGAAATCCAACGTCACCACCGCTCTTCCTTTATTGAAATAACTACACCAATAAACGAAAATGAGAATATCCTAGAAATGGTAACAAACATTCATGAGACCATTGGTTTTAAGCCTATGGAAGAGAGTATCAGACAATGTTATAGAATGAAACAAGGAACTAAAAAACCTATATTAGTTGAATATCGAAATGGGCAGAAAAGAAACGAAGTATTAAAACTAGCAAAAATATACAACAAGAATAACAAAGAGAAATTAAATACGGATATATTCGGTAAGCAAAAAATAAAGGAACGTATTTACATCAATGAATTTCTTACACCTAATACAAGAAAATTGTACTACCATGCCCGCCAACTACAGAAATTACACGGATTTAAATACTACTGGGTATCAAGAGGAAGAGTCTATATTAGAAAAAATGACGGTGATCCGGCTATTCTTGTTAAATCTTTGGAGCAAATTGAATCTCTTAAAGTGGAAGCCACCATATGACTAGCATGTCATTTTACATGGTATACTACTAAATTTATTATAGTTTTAGTGTTTGTTTTTGGATTTTACTTTATTGTACTTTTAGATTTTAAGTCTTGCTTGCATTGTTTGTTACAAAATGTTACGTTAGTTTATTTTAGAAATTTACAAATTTATGTTATACACACACAACAAAAATACACATTGACTCTTTTACAGACATATAATATACATATTACACAAATCTCTGGTATTATATCTATGGAAACTGTCTTCAAAATAATTTTCCTAAATCTGCCCACATCATCATATCATTACTGCATGAAATCTGTTTTTGATAATGGTTAACATTCTGAAACTACAAGCTGATCTTGATGATAATACTAATATAGGCACAGCAGTCGTGATTGATGATATTGGGCAATGCAAAGGGATATTAAACTCTGGCAGTTACTTACGCATTTTAACACAAAATATACGTAGTATTAATAAGAATTTTGATGGGCTTACGGTTCTTCTCCAACAACTAGAAATTGAACAAGATATAATTATATTAACAGAATGTTGGCTATCTAAAGTTAACTTACTACCTACATTACCAAATTATAATCGATTTAATACAAAGCGGAACCTTAATAAAAATGATGGAGTTGTTATGTTTATAAGAAAATCTCTTCAGGTTAAGGTAATAGAACCACAAAATACGAAAGAACTGACGTGTCTGGTGGCTTGTCTTAAAGATACAAACATCATTGGCATTTATAGACCTCCTGAATTTACAAATTTAGATAATTTTACACATTCTTTGGAATTTATTCTTCAAGATTTTACACAAAACAATTTAATTTTAATGGGAGATTTAAATATTGACATCAAGAATGGATGTAATGCAGCAAGATGCGATAGTTATCTAGAAATTACAGCTATGTATGGATTAACGGCTACACATAACTTCCTTACTACGGACAAAAGTTGTTTAGATCACTGTTTAGTTAAAACAAAATTACCGATTAGCACTATCGTCTGTCAAACAACTCTAACAAATCATGCATGCGTTATAGTCTCATTATCACAAAAGAATATTATAGGAAAATCAACAATAACATTTAATAAAAAGATAGATTATGATTCTGTCATTAAACAATTAAAAAGTATTGAATGGAATATATTACTTAAGGATTTAAATGCTAATGATGCTACAGATACCTTTCTTGCTATAGTTATGACTGCATTAGACTCAAATACTACTTATATAAAATTTTCGGCTAGGAAAAGAAATATTAAACCGTGGATTACCCCTGGTTTAATTAGGTGTATGAAACATAGAGATAGACTTCACAGTAAATTACGTAAAGACCCGAATAATGTTATACTTAAAATAAGTTACGTTCGATATCGTAATACATGTAGGAAAGTTCTAAATACTGTGAAACAGATGTATTATAGAAACAAACTAAATCAAAACAAATCTAAACCCAAAATTCAATGGGATTGTGTTAGGGAAATATGTTATCTAAATAAAGACAAACAAACTTCAGCGGAAATACTTACATTGAAAACCAGCCCTAAAGAATCACTTGATTATGCAAACGAATATTTTGCTGGCATTGGTGCAGAGCTAGCAAATAATATTATACAAAGAACGCAAACGACAGAAGACAAACTACTGCGCATGATACAAAATAGTCGGAACTGTTGTGGTTCGTTTTATCTGAATCCAACTGATAAATATGAGGTTGGAAGAATTATAAAATCACTTAAAAATACCCATTCATGTGGATGGGATGGCATTACTTCTAAATTCCTCAAATTATCCATCAATGTTTTAGCTGAACCTATTGCTACTATTTCTAATATGTGTTTCGAACAAGGTATATTCCCTAGAGCGCTAAAAAAAACAATTATTGTACCAATATTCAAAACCGGAATAAAAGAAGACTTAAGTAATTATAGACCTATTTCTTTGCTACCAACACTATCTAAAATAATAGAAAAAATAATAAACGTTCGATTAAAGACGTACTTGAAGAATAATAACATATTAGCTAATAATCAATACGGATTTCAAAATAATAAATCAACTTCTGATGCATTAAAAAATTAATATCGGTTATAGTAAACAATTTAGATAAGCGTATTAAATGTTTGGGCTTGTTTTTGGATCTAAAAAAGGCTTTCGATACGGTGTCTGTTCCTTTGTTGTTAAAAAGACTTGAAAATGTAGGAATTCGTGGTCTACCACATCAACTTTTGACAAACTATTTGACAGACAGAAAACAAATACTTAAAATAGAAAATCTGGTTAGTGAAGAAACTGATGTTAAATATGGAGTCCCCCAGGGGAGTACCTTGGGTCCTACACTTTTTTTGGTGTACATAAATGAACTTTGCTTACTTAAACTTAAGAATAGTGAAATAATAACATTTGCAGATGATACAGTATTAATTTCTCATGGCAAGTCAAATGAACAAGTGTATGAAAATGCTAACAACGATTTTAGACTAGTTACAACATGGCTAGACCAAAATTTATTATCATTAAATATTTCTAAAACACAATACTTAAATTTTAGTATTCGTTCCTATCAATGTCCCAACCTAAAAAAACTAGAATTAAAGGCACATTATTGTGAACCTAATCTTACTCCAAAATGTACCTGCCAAAAATTAACTCTAA